CCGAATGATTGTCTTTGGGACGCAAATTTGTAGATAAATGTCCCGAAAAATGGTCTTGTTTTGCTTTCCTAATTAGCGTGAAATGGGGCTCATTTAAATGATGTGCAATAACAAAATATTGGTGTTGGTAATAATAAAAAGACCTAATTTTATTTTCCTGCTCTAAATTGATTTATTGGACTTATACTCAAACATTAAACAGTTTTCTGGATAAATAAATAATAGAAAATCTAAAATACTTTCGCCGGAGAAAATGCTTCTCTGGTCACCCTTCTGTTGCAGTCATGTGAGCCACAGCCTAGGCATTTGGTCACATGACCTCTACCAAAAGAGCCGATTCTCCCGCTCAGTGGAGGTCATGCGCCTAGGCGTTGCGTTACATGAGAACTCAAACGTGAACCCAGAGTTTTGCTTTGTTTGTAAACAAAGTACCTTGGAAATGGAAGCATGCACATGCTTAGAAGTTAGGATTCTGTCCGAGAGTGTTCCCGAATGTGAAAGTCTATCAAAGCCATGGGTCCAAACTCCATATTGGTTTTTCAGCCTGCAAAAAGGATATTACCTGTTCTCCTCCCCCCGTGTTCAGGCCCAGTGATTGGCTGATTAAGCCTGAGCACTGCGCCCTGGAAGGAAGGTCACATGATCCCCATATCCAGAAGTAATGGGTGTTCCCGATGGCTCAGATAGACGATGCAGCATCAGGGGAGGGGGGGCATGGCAGAGGTGGGTGGAATGTGGATTTTCTGGAAACCGATCACTTTGCCAGTCAGGAAGGAGATCTTGGATCACTGACTAGAAGGCTGTCTGGGGCCTGTCTCCTTACTACACAGTTTTACAGCTTTTACAATGGAAAATCAATATAGGGTATTGTATAACAGAGCATGCTGTCTCACTATGGGTCAGATAATATGGTCTGGCGAAAGAGAACAAAGGAAAAAAGGAGGAACGTACAATCGTTACAAGATAGGGGTCTCTTTATTGAAATAAAATTGCTGTGTGAATGCTTTGCTTCAACCACTTACACAACCGTCCCAAAACATCCCTATAGTCCCATATGGAAGAGAAATATATTTGCAAAACAATATTCTTCCCAAATATATTGCCATATATTTGAAATGCAACAATTTTGACCATATTTAATATATTTCAAAATATATTTCAATAAACACACACACATACATATATATATATATATATATATATATATATATACACACACACACACACACACACACACACACACACACACACACATACATATATACATACACACACGCACACACACTGCATGTTGAAACACATTTTTATTACAAAATATATGAAAATTATTTTTAAAAATACATTTCATTCAAATATACTGTATGTTTTTTTAAAAATACAAATTTACATTTTTTTAATGCATTTACAAATATAAAAAATAATTTTAACATATATTTTTACATATATGTCCAAAAACAAAAATCTGAAGAATATATTTAAATATATATATTTTTTTAAATATATTCTTCAGATTTTTTTTTTGAACATATAAAAAATAATTTTAACATATATTTTTACATATATGTTCAAAAAAAAATCTGAAGAATATATTTAAATATATATATTTTTTTAAATATATTCTTCAGATTTTTTTTAACATATAAAAAAGTAATTTTAACATATAGTTCTACATTTTTGGAATGCATTTACAAATATATGTAAATTTGCATTTTTTAAAGACATACAGTATATTTGAAATGTATTTTTAAAAATAATTTTCATATATTTTGTAATAAAAATGCATTTCAACATGCAGTGTGTGTGTGTGTATATATATATATACATACACACACACACATACATACATATATATATACATATACACAGTTACAATCCCCTTGGGATTACGTGGAGTTTTGCATGAATTGGGCATAAAATGTGCTCTGAACGTCATCTAAGTCACAACAATAGAAGAACACAGTCTGCTGAACATAATACTACACAAACATTAGATGTTGCCATGGTTTAATTGCACATAACATGTAAACATTCACAGTGCAGGGAGGAAAAAGTATGTGAGGCCCTAGCTTAATGACTTCTCCCAGAGCTGTTTGTTTATGTTTAACAGACTGTGTTCTATTGTTGTGACTTAGGTGATGTTCAGAGCACATTTTATGCCCAATTCATGCAAAACTTCCCGTAATCCCAAGGGGTTCACATACTTTTTCTTGCAACTGTATATATATATATATATATATATATATATATATATATATATATATATATATATATTATGGCCAAAATTAAAAAAATATATTTCTTCCATGTGGGTTGTGTCTAATATGTTTATTTACTATGATGATCAGCTCCATCTAGTGGCTGTGATGCTGTATTTTCCTAAAATACCTCAATCATGGCCACTAGATGGAGCTGATGGTCGCAAACCATATTAGACACATTATGGGGATTATTTATAATGCCTGTGCAAATGCTTGATCACAATTTTTTTTCATTTATAGATCCCATTGTTTTAGGTTGTATTTAAAGGCCAAGTCCACTCAAAGATGACATTTCTTTTTTTTTTTTTGTGATTACTAGTCATTTGAGTCATGTGCTGGCCTCTTATATCCTTCAGGGAAATTAGTGGTAAGAAATACCCACCAGTAACAAGAAATCTAAACCCTAAGGCCCCAATCACACACATCGATTAGCTGTGTGACCCATGCTGGGCCATCTTTTACTGATATGGGGATTCACAGGCGCTGCGTGCATCCCCGTGTCGGTGTCCCATTGTTGTCTATTGGGACACTCAACTGCACGGACAGAACCGCAGTCTCCCAATATGACATTGTGATAAAAATTGAGATCACCTTGGGGTTCCTGTGTTCCAAAAAAAGGGGACGTTTGGGGAATTTTTGTACTGTTCTGGCATTTTTATTTTAGCAGAATTTAATTTTTTTTCAATGTTTAATTTTATTATTTACTGAAAAAAATAAAAAAAGACCAAACAGCGGTTTAATAAATCCCACGAAAAGAAATTGTATCTCCCACAAATTATATATAAATATTATATGCATCTACATACAGTGCTGCATAACAATAGTAATTGTCAAAATAATCACAGTCTTGAATACTGGCCTGATTATAAAGGGGTGGTTAAAGCTGAACTCCGAACGCAAAAACTTTTATTGAAATGTATTCCTCAATAGCCACAAAGGATATAAATCCACTTTGCGTGCACCACGTGCTTAACCTCTTCACGCCGCCGAACGCAAATGTGCGGCCTCCCGGCGTCTGGGCCTAGACGCCGAGCGACCGCACATTTGCGTTCTATTAAAAAAGGACATATGTGCCGAGAGCATGCGCCCTGCGCGCTCCCAGTACTCACGGAAAGGTCCCAATCTCTTCTTTCGATCGGGACCTTTCCCGATCATGTGACCTTTCCCGATTATGTGACTGCCGTGACGGCGCGTCACATGACCCTAAACCCCGCCCTGCCTCCCGGCTTCTGAAACTCTTAAAGGGCTGGGAGGCACCAGCGTGAAGGGGTTAAGCAAAATCCAGTTATTACCTTGTAAATGTAGCTGTGAAATCATTACTGTGCTGCACAGAGAGCAGAGCTGTGGGAGGGACCCGGCAGACCCCACCCACTACAGGCCACCTGTAGAAAACTACAGGAGGGGGTGGAGACAAGACCAGTCACCCTGCACAAGGAGAGAGAGCAGCAGTGACTGGTCTTTATTACAGGGAGCTCTGCACAGAGGGAAAGTCTCACTCTGGATTACTGCACAGATCTGGAAAAAGTACACCAAGATTCCAGAATACAAATGATGAATGGATTTAGACAATATTTGGTTATGTCGAAGTTCAGCTTTAAAGTTTATATAACATTTAGGCATTTGGGTTTAGATCTACTTTGAGTCAGACTTACGTGACCATTTCAATCCCTTATGATGGTGTCACGGCGCCTCTGGTGTCGTTTCTACAAATTGAGAATAATCGGAAACAGTGGAGACCATACTGACACTTTTAGAAAATGTATATTATATAGGGTGCGCTTGTTAGAGCCCAACCTCTGACACCATCATAAGGGATTGAAATGGTCATGTAGCAAGGTGGCTAAATGGTGGGCAGCACAGTGGCTAAATGGTTAGCACTTCTACCTGGCAGTACTGGGGTTGTTGGTTCAATTCCCAGCCACGGCACCTCCTGCCTGGAGTTTGCATGTTCTCCCTGTGCCTGTGTGGGTTTCCTCTGGGTACTCCGGTTTCCTCCCACACTCCAAAGACATGCTGGTAGGTTAGTTGGCTCCTGTCTAAATTGTCCCTAGTATGAGTATGTATGAATGTGAGTTAGGGACCTTAGATTGTACGCCCCTTGAGGGTCAGGGACTGATGCGTTGCGTAAATGGACAACGCTATATAAGTACCTGAAATACATAATAAAAATAAATAAACTTCTGTAGTTGTAGGATAAAGGTGCCAGATGGATATCAGGGATGGATGGATGGATGGATGGGAGCAGTAACACTGAGGCAGCTCTTCTTAGAGGCGCCTTCCTCTCTTTTTCATACTGACACTTTTGTCATGGACTTGTGTAAAAGGCAAAGACACCAACTGCTATCGGGACAGTCCCCTAATAGAGAGAACAAGCCGGCATCTGATCCAAACCCACAGCTGTCCACCAGAAAAAAAAAATAAAAATATGAAATATGACCTCTGAGCGGAGTTGCCTTTTAGGTTTAACATTTTAACTCCAGGACTTGAATTTAAAACCCATGTTATAAATAAATAAATATATAAATAAAAAAACAATACAGGGAGGGATAGAAGACGACCATCATTACTGCTACGAGAAGAGTGCAAAATGCAAAGTCACATCTCCTCCGAGGAGGAGGAAACTGAAGACCATACTCAGGAGTCTAGAAAGAGAGAAAAAAAAAACCCCAAGAAGATATCTGAATGTTCATGGATGGATCTTATACTAGACGGAAGCTACGGGAGGGATTCGCAGATTGATGGTTAATATAATGGTTTCTGTCCTTGGTTATCAAATTCTGACCAGGCGTCGTTTAGCTCCATAAAAATCATCTTTGCATATTGCTCATATGGCTGTCCTGTGGCCTGTAATAGAAACAAATCGACGTTATTATTAAATCATCTCACCTTACAGAAATAGATAGTACCGTACCACTTCCCCACCAGAGCACGTGTCAAACACAAAGCCCGTGGGCTATTGCATGCACCCCGCCCATCTCTGCCCCCCACCTTGTCTGAGCCGTCAGGAGTGAGAGGACGACAGAGGTCCTATGCCAGATCCTGCTCCAGCCCTCCTCTGGTCCTCCTCCAGACCCTGCATTTTCTGATCCCTGGTTATCCTCTAGACCAGGGGTGGGCAACTCTTGCCCTCCAACTGTTGCGGAACTACAAGTCCCACCATTCTTATGCCTCTGGGAGTGATGATTTTGACTGTCAGTCTTGCAGTGCTTCATGGGACATGTAGTACAACAGCAGCTGGAGGGCCGCAGTTGCCCACCCCTGCTCTAGACCAAGCTTCTTTCTGGCAGCAGCACAATGTAAAGGAGTGTGACTTCACCTCCGCAACATCTCCAAGATACGCCCGTTCCTAACCACGGAAACCACTAAGCAACTTCTTCACTCCCTTGATATATCTCGCCTTGACTATTGTAACTCCCTCCTCATTGGCCGACCTCATCGCAGGCTATCCCCTCTTCACTCTATCATGAACGCTGCTGCCAGACTCATCCACCTTACTAACCCCTCTGCATCTGCCACCCCTCTCTGCCAATCCCTCCACTGGCCTCCACTCAGTGTCTGCCACCCCTCTCTGCCAATCCCTCTACTGGCCTCCACTCCTCTCTGCCAATCCCTCCACTGGCCTCCACTCAGTGTCCTCCCACCCCTCTCTGCCAATCCCTCCACTGGCCTCCAATCAGTGTCCTCCACCCCTCTCTGCCAATCCCTCCACTGGCCTCCACCCCTCTCTGCCAATCCCTCCACTGGCCTCCACTCAGTGTCCTCCACCCCTCTCTGCCAATCCCTCCACTGGCCTCCAATCAGTGTCCTCCACCCCTCTCTGCCAATCCCTCCACTGTCTCCCAGTTGCCCAACTAATAAAAACACTAACAATGACCTATAATGCCATCCACAACACTGCCCCAATTTACATCGCGATCTTATCTCTAAATATCACCCAAACTGTCCTCTCCGCTCCTCGCAAAACCTCCTACTCTCTAGCTCCCTTATCTCCCCCTCCGATGCTCGTCTCCAAGACTTCTCCAGGGCATCACCCATCCTCTGGAACTCCCTACCCCAATCTATCAGACTATCGCCTACTCCAATTACTTTTAGGCGATCACTGAAAACCTATCTCTTCTGGGAAGCCTATGCCGCCCTCTGCTAATACTGGAATCTTCTACTCTTCCAACCACTCCATCCCCCACAGTTATTACCTATTGTACCATTCACCCCTCCCTCCTAGATTGTAAGCTCCAAGGATCAGGGCCCTCAAATCCCTCTTGTATTGTTACTGTATTGTCTCCCGTTATATTGTAAAGCGCTGAGCAAACTGTTGGCGCCATATAAATCCTGTATAATAATAATAATAATCCTGTGATGTAAGGGAGGGTGGAGAACTCTATACTCCTGATGGTGGTGGGGGGATGGGCTCTTGACCTGCGATATAAGGGGGTGCTCTGGACATCTAGTCTTACAGGTACAGCCAGCACTTTGAGGGCAACCATAATGCTGATGCGGCCCGCGATTGAATTGAATTTGATGCCCCTGTTGTAAAGCATTTTTTATAATTTTTTCTTCATGTTAAAAATCAGCATTTTTGGCAAAAAAATTGTTACAACCCCCAGAACATTATATATTTTCTGCAATAGAGGCCCTGTAGAAAAACAAAAAGATGGTAGTTGCACTTTATTTTATGTTGCACAATATTTGCACAACTGTTTTTTAAATACATTCTCAGGGGAAAAAAAACCCAATAGAATGTATTTTAGTGCAAACAAACACAATACAATACCCAGTGATTTGGTCAAATATAAAATAATGGGTTGTGTAGAGTAACTACAGTGAGGAACAGAAGTATTTGAACCCCCTGCGATTTTGCAAGTTCTTCCACTTAGAAATCATGGAGGGGTCTGAAATTCACATTCTAGATGCATTCCCACTCTGAGAGACAGAATTAAAAAAAAAACAGGAAATCACATTGTATGATTTTTAAAGAATTGATTTGTCTTGCACTGCTGAACATAAGTATTTGAACACCTAAGAAACAGCAAGAATTCTGGCTTTCAAAGATCTGTTACTGCGCCTTTAAAAAATCCACCTCCACTCTATTCATTAATCTAACTTAGTAGCACCTGTCTGAGGTCTTTAAAGACACCTGTCCACCCCACAGTCAGTCAGACGCCAACTACTACCATGGGCAAGACCAAAGAGCTGTCAAAAGACACCAGAGACAAAATTGTGGACCTCCACAAGGCTGGAAAGGGCTATGGGCCAATTGCCAAGCAGCTTGGTGAAAATAGATCAACTGTTGCAGCAATTGTTAGAAAATGGAAGAGGCTAAAGACGACTGTCAGTCTCCCTCGGACTGGGGCTCCATGCAAGATCTCACCTCGTGGGGTATCACTGATGATAAGAAAGGTGAGGAATCAGCCCAGAACTACAAGGGAGGAGCTGGTCAATGACATGAAGAGAGCTGGGACCACAGTTTCAAAGGTCACTGTCGGTAGAACACTACGCCGTCATGGTTTCAAATCATGCATTGCACGGAAGGTTCCCCTGCTCAAGTCATCACATGTCCAGGCCCGTCTGAAGTTTGCCAATGACCATCTGGATGATCCAGAGGAGGCATGGGAGAAAGTCATGTGGTCAGATGAGACCAAAGTAGAACTTTTTGGTCTAAACTTCACTCGTCGTGTTTGGAGGAAAAAGAAGGATGAGTTGCATCCCAAGAACACCATCCCTACTGTGAAGCATGGGGGTGGTAACATCATGCTTTGGGGGTGCTTTTCTGCGAAGGGGAGAGGACGACTGCACTGTATTAAGGAGAGGATGAATGGGGCCATTTATTGTGAGATTTTGAGCAACAACCTCCTTCCCTCAGTCAGAGCAGTGAAGATGAGTCGTGGCTGGGTCTTCCAACATGACAACGACCTGAAGCACACAGCCAGGATAACCAAGGAGTGGCTCCGTAAGAAGCATATCAAGGTTCTGGAGTGGCCTAGCCAGTCTCCAGACCCAAATCCAATAGAACATCTTTGGAGGGAGCTGAAACTCCGTGTTGCTCAGCGACAGCCCCGAGACCTGACAGATGTAGAGGAGATCTGTGTGGAGGAGTGGGCCAAAATCCCTGTTGCAGTGCAAACCTGGTCAGGAACTACAGGAAACGTCTGACCTCTGTAATTGCAAACAAAGGCTTCTGTACCAAATATTAAACACTGATTTTCTCAGGTGTTCAAATACTTCTGTTCAGCAGTGCAAGACAAATACATTCTTTACAAATCATACAATGCGATTTCCTAAAAAAATTTTTTAATTCTGTCTCTCAGAGTGGGAATGCACCTACAATGTGAATTTCAGACCCCTCCATGATTTCTAAGTGGGAGAACTTGCAAAATCGCAGGATGTTCAAATACTTCTGTTCCTCACTGTAGATACCAAACATGTCAAGTCTTAAAATTGCATTCGCCCGTGATATTGCAAAAAACTATGGTACCTAAAATTCTTTATAGGGAAGGCTTCAAAAGCCTTTTTAGCTCATCAATTAAAGTTAAAGTGTTACTAAATCCAGAACAGTACAATCAGTCTGTAGATGCAGGAAAGCATGCTTGTTATACTCACTGTGAAACCTAAGGGATAAATCCTCTGCACTGTGTAAAAGGGATGTTTGATCCTGATTTCTCTGATCATCCCCTTCTTCCAGTGTCTCCCTTTTATCTCCTGATAAGACATATATCATGTGGAGTCACTCTAGCAATACACACCAAACTGAGCATGTGCAGAGAGGTTGTTTTTTTTTTCTCCTGGACCCTGCATTCACTATATCTGGTCTCCCAGAACCCTGTGTGTTCACTATATCTGGTCTCCCAGAACCCTGCATTCACTAAATCTGGTCTCCCAGAACCCTGCATTCACTATATCTGGTCTCCCCGGACCCTGCATTCACTATATCTGGTCTCCCCAGACCCTGCATTCACTATATCCGGTCTCCCCGGACCCTGCATTCACTATATCTGGTCTCCCCGGACCCTGCATTCACTATATCTGGTCTCCCCGGACCCTGCATTCACTATATCCGGTCTCCCCGGACCCTGCATTCACTATATCTGGTCTCCAAGAACCCTGCATTCACTATATCTGGTCTCCTCGGACCCTGCATTCACTATATCTGGTCTCCCCGGACCCTGCATTCACTATATCCGGTCTCCCAGGACCCTGCATTCACTATATCTGGTCTTCCCGGACCCTGCATTCACTATATCCGGTCTCCCAGGACCCTGCATTCACGATATCTGGTCTCCCACAGTACACAGAACATGGAAATGCAATTACTTTAGTAAATATAAACTGCTAAATACCTTTTCTCAGCAGCAGTATATAGCAGTCTTATGAATTCTATCAGTGTCCAGCAGAGCACTGGTTGATCTTGTAGGAGGCGTTTTCATTCTCCTCTGACTGTCTTATGTGGGTACATAACTCCTGACCCTGTCTGGACAGAGTTGATTGGCCCTGTGCTGATCACATGCACTCTCCCAAGAAAAAAAAAAACACCGCTTTAGCAATACACACCAAAACTGAGCATGTGCAGAGTGCTCTATAGATGGATTGGGGACTGTAGAAGAAGGGGAGGATCAGAGAAGACAGTGTCTCCACACAATACGTCTTATCAGTAGATAAGAGGGGGACACTGGAAGAAGGGGAGGATCAGAGAAGTTAGGATCAAACAGCCTTTTTACACAATGCAGAGGATTAACCCCTTAGATTCCACAGTGAGTATAACAAGCATGCTTTACGGCATCTACAGACTGATTGTACTGTTGTGGGTTTAGTAACACTTCGACCCCCTTCCCCCCAAAAAAAACACAGATTTGTTTGGTTTTTTTTTAAAGCTAATTTTACATAAACAGCCTAATGAGCAACACAGAGCTTCTGGTTTGTGAAAAGTATTACAACAGCGCAATTAATGATATTGCGGTGAAATAAATTTTTCCTGAAATCACTCCACTCATTTCTACTCATCAGAAAAATGTACTGATCACCAATCAGTACTTGTACTTCACAGACACGGTCACACTAATCTGCATGCACAGGTGTGGGTTCAATCACATGACTTTACTTTGTCAGGGTGAACCACCAGCACAGCTTTCCGGTACACTTTCTTCACTTGTTCCGGTGTCACCAAATCGGCCATGCTGATCGGCTTCCACTTCGTCTCCCCTTCCCAGAGCACGGTGTGCATTGTGGAGAGCAGGGCTCGGATGTTCCGCTCTTTGCCTTCAATCCAATCCAAGATCTATTAGGAGAAAGGAGTAGATCCATCAACACATGACTATCCGATGGTCGGGACATTTAGGGCTCATGTACACTGCAGTCGGTAAACTCACGTTTAGGAGCTGTTCAGCGTTTTTTTCAGCAGCCCCTGAACTCTTCCTAATGTTTTCCTATGTGTCCATGTACACATCTTCATTTACAATCGTTTACAGGCAGTTGAGTTTACAGTCGTTTTTTTTGAATGCAGAAAACTTGCATTCAGCAGTAGATTTTATCAGCATTTCAAATGCAAAATGCTTGTAAACGCGGAAAATCGTGTTTATAAGTATTTGTGTTTGAAAATTTTTTTTAACTCTTCCAGATCCCGATGCTGTCCAGAGCCTTTTTTCATCAGGAAAAATGCATGCAAAGCATTTTCAAGGTACTCAGATGGACAAAAACACTGAACACAGGATGTTCCTACCAAGCTTGTCACACATTGTAATGACTGATTCACACCTCAGACCTCTCCCACCCTTGGAAACAAAAGATATGTTAATGACCATTCACACCTCAGACCTCTCCCACTCTTGGAAACAAAAGATGTGTTAATGTCCATTCACACCTCAGACCTCTCCCACCCTTGGAAACAAAAGATATATTAATGACCATTCACACCTCAGACCTCTCCCACCCTTGGAAACAAAATATATGTTAATGACCATTCACACATCAGACCTCTCCCACCCTTGGAAACAAAAGCTATGTTAATGACCATTCACACCTCAGACCTCTCCCACCCTTAGAAACAAAAGATATGTTAATAACCATTCACACCTCAGACCTCTCCCACCCTTGGAAACAAAAGATATGTTAATGACCATTCACACCTCAGACCTCTCCCACCCTTGGAAACAAAATATATGTTAATGACCATTCACACATCAGACCTCTCCCACCCTTGGAAACAAAAGCTATGTTAATGACCATTCACACCTCAGACCTCTCCCACCCTTAGAAACAAAAGATATGTTAATAACCATTCACACCTCAGACCTCTCCCACCCTTGGAAACAAAAGATATGTTAATGACCATTCACAACTCAAATTCCTCATGAAGACCCCCTGCCAGGTGGCCTTAATGACTCCCTCCACCAGACATCTTTCCCACCCTTGGAAACACATACTGCTGTCTCTGCTTCTACTCTCTGTATTTCTCTGAAAGAGTCTGAAATAGTTAATAATTTACCACTTTTCAGTGCATTCTGGGCATTTGGGAGGTTCTCCTGTGCTTACCTTTAAAAAAAACGCTTCTAAACGCGGTATGCAAACGCGGCTAAACAGACGTTTTTTTTAACCTACGTTTTCCAGCAGTGAATTTCCATTGTTCAGAAGTGTCCCGTGTACATGGGGCCTTATCCCCCAAACAAATTCCTCCAGCTGTTTCACTTTATATATAGAGAACAGCTTTTTCAAGATTTTGCCTTTTTTGGTAATCTGATGATGCCGGTAAGAAAGGCCTCAAAAGCTTCTAGTATTTATAAAATGTTTATTATTTTGAAAAGCATAACGATAAGATATCCAACGCGTTTCAGGGTCAGACCTTTTCTTAACCATTTGCCGACCGAGCACTGTAGATTTACTGCTACAGTGCAGGCTGGCTGCGCAGAATCACATACTGTATATATACGTGATTTTGCATTTCTGGGTAGGGGCCGATCACCAGACCCTGGATAATGATTTATGGCTGGAACACGGCGATGGGCGGAGCGAGCGACAGGAGAGAGCTCTGTGCTGGTAAACAACACAGAACTCTCTCCTGACAGCGGCGATGTGCTGGTTTTTGTCTCCCTGCAAATGAGGGAATAAAAACTGGCACGTCCCTTAGTAAAACAGAACAGTCAACACATTGACATTTTCTAGGCACATAGTTAACCCCTTGATCGCCCTAGATGTTAACCCCTTCCCAGCCAGTTTCATTAATACAGGGACAGCGTTTATTTTTATAGCACTGATCATTGTATTAGTGTCACTGACGATGTCAGTGTCAGTCAGTGCCCACAAAGCATCACTTAGTGTCAGATTACTTTACGCACAGTCCTGCTATAAGTCGCAGATCACTGCCATTACTAGTATTAAAAAAAGTAAAAATTCCAGTATATATACCATAGATAGTAGACACTTTCACACAAACCAATCAATATTATCGCCATGCCTTTTAAAAGCAATCCATGGTGGATCACTTTGCAGAGGGCATTTGACAGGAGGAGACTGATTTAACCGTGTCAGTGGTGCACCACCGTGCCACAATTGTGTGCACTGCATGTGGTTGCAAGGTTGTGGTGCAGCCCTTTAGACTTGCATTGGTCCCATTCAGTGGGGGTAATACCTGACGTACGCGACATGCTGCTGCTTAATTTGTGCAGGTGCTGCGAAGCACTGCATTGAGACAACAGCATGTGTATAGCACTGAATGGCTGCAAGTTCTGGTTCACACAGGCCTTTGGGGATGTTAAAACTGTGGCTCAATCCAGGGCCATTGATATAGGGGTACTACCAGTCCTCCTGCACAGGGCCCAGGTCAGCAGGGGGGCCCAGGCAGCTGGGTGATTCAGATGTGGGCAGGAAGGGTGATTAGCACAGTGGGGGGGCATTTACGGGAACCGATCCCCTGCATGGCTCTCTGCAGCAGCTGAAAGCTGGCTTCTTCTCCCTCTCCCTCACACTGGCTTTCAGCTGTTGCAGAGAGCCATACAGGGGATTGGTTACAGTAACTGTCCCCCCTGCAGCACCCATCACTCTCCCTGTGCACCATACATTTCCCCCCCCGCTGCTCAGGTCCCCCTGTGTGCCCCCATCCCCACAGTCCTGCTGGCTTTCCTCCCCTCTTTCCCACTGGCAGCTGTCAGCACACAATAGGATCCTTCAGGATGGAGAGTTGGGTAAGAATCCGGCAAATATGTCACATTTACCAGCCCTTTCCTTTCGTGAATGAACATAATGAATGATTGGTACTGATTACTTACTGTGTTTATTCACAACTGAAGCATAGTAAACATAGTAGCATAGTAAACTGAAGCATAGTAAACTGTGTATTTTTTGGGGGGAGGGCCCCTTCAGGCTGTAAGGGGGCCCCTGTGGTTTCTAACAGCAGCCCTGGCTCCTCTGTCTTATCTTACCAACCTCGCGTGAACAAAGCCTTAGTCTGCAAAAGGGCAAAGATTCCAGGAACAGGTGGAGATATAGGTCTTTTTTTTTTCTTAAGGGCTCACTTAGCTGCAATTTTACTGCCTGACTGCCCACCCAAATACAAAAATGTTGCAGCCGCAACAAAAGTTAAATGTCCATTAAAGTCAATGGGGTGGCCCCACCAATGTTCTTTCAGCTGTGTCAAGGTTAGGTCACCTTTTTGAAGGTTAAAGCAGGTGGAGGGGAGGTGACATATCGCCTCCGTCCAGGGGCGGACTGACCATTTGGAAACTCAGGCACTGCCTGAGGGCCCAGGGTCAGTAGGGGGCCCCATGAGATGCCCCTGGTACCATTTTCATAGGCTTTTTTGAGTTTGGGCATGGACACAGGGGCCCCATGATCCCCTATTGCCCGGGGGCCCCATGAGTTTTCAGTCCGCCCCTGCCTATGCCCTACCTGTCAAATGCCCTTCATAGGGGCAGCGGTATGGCCACATGTATGAACAAGCCCATAAAAGGCAACAGGGTCACTTTAAAGGCACGGGCTCCAAAGCTGTCAGTGAAATCTTATTGATTGAGCTGCTGTCCTGTAATGCTGGTCATACACGGTTAAAAAAATTGTTCGGAAAAAAAAAAACAGTCGGAAATATGAAGATCTATTGAACATGCATGCAATAACACCATCATTGTATCAAAATATTTTCCCCAACTGTCGGCATATTATCAATCATTAACAACATAAATGATACATTTTTCGTCAACTGGTGGAAATATCAAGACTTTTTAATCTTTCTGAATCCTCCCACTCGCCAACTGTACGTAAAAGAAAGATCTTTCTTTTTTGTTGCTTGTACTCCCAGGCAGGGCAACTGTTAGAAACCACAGGGCCCCTTACAGCCAACCTGACAGGGCCCCCCAAACTACAGGCCCCATGAAGCCACCATAACAGGCCCCCCTTCCATCCCCACAAAAAAACACAGTTACTATGCTTCAGTTATGAACACAGTATATATGAAGCGCAGCGCTGATAAAATTACAATAAAATGACAATAAAAGTACATAAAATGTTCATGAGATGATAAATGATCCCAACTGTAGCAGAATTCAAATGCTTGTAATTGGAAGTAATGATAAAATTGCGCACTCACCAGAAGCGCATAGAATATGCACATATAAATATATCCACCACGAACCACTTAGGGAAGCGGGGTATTTCAGACATCTGGTGAACTTCTGTAAGGGATTTCCGGCAAGAAGAATCGCGATCGGGAACGCGCATGCGCATAGGAATTCCCGCAGAATTGCCAGTTGTGCGCATGCGCGCAGGAAAGCGCGATCGCACACACGCATGGCGAAGATTGGTGCCAGACAGCCCATTTAAGGAGTGCCTCTGCTCAGGTTCAGTGCTGACTGGTCTTCAGCTCCCCTGTGTCCTGCTTGTTCCTGTATGATTCCTCCGTTACCAACCTGGCTTGTTCCTGACCCGACTTCGATTACTCTCCTGCTACTGGTTCCTGACTTCGGCTCTGCTCCTGACTTTGGCTTTTCCTTTTGATTCTGTACTGCGCTGCCCGACTGTTGATGACCCTGGCTATCCTATGACCCTGCTCCAGTCTCTTGTCCTTGCTACCTACCTTGCTCTGCTGCACGTCTGGCAATCCACAGAACCTGCTCTGTCTATTATTACGGTGTCCAAATCAGAGGATCATCAGCCTTCCAAGGTCATCATCTGCAAGAGCTGCAAACAACAACCACTGTCGCTCTTGTCCCCCTGGTCCCTAGGCCAACCTCGGGGTCACGCAATCAAACCTCGTCTCTCCCATCAGGTACGTGACAACTTCCTTCTAGGTATGGATCAGCACAGCCGTATATCTTGGGATTAAGTTAAATCTGCTTATCCAGAGGTCTCCTTTAGGGTGTATGGGTACTCTGTTTGGTTACAGGGATTCCCTCCTCTGGGTGCTGAATAAGTGAGGATCAACTGCAGGCTCGAGGTAGGGTCGGTCACGGCTGACGAGCTGCTCATGTCTACGGCCCTGTACCGATCACTCATTGTGTTCATTCAGAAAAGGAAGGGGCTGGTAAATTACTGGAACTGATCCCCTGTATGTCTCTCTCTGCAGCAGCTGAAAGCCAACAGAGGGGGGAGAGAAGAAGAAGCCAGCTTTTAGCTGCTACACAGAGAGACATACAGGGGATGCATTCCCGTAATTGCCCCCTCCTCCCCTGCCGTGCCACTCACCCTCCCTGCCCACAACTGATTCACACAGCTGCCTGGGCCCCCCTGCTGGCCTGGGGGTACCCCCTTATCCATGGCCCTGCTCCCAGGGGTTACATTTTAACACACGCATGCGCTGTAGATTTTTTTTTCGATCTGTTTTCAATCTATTCCACTACTGTTTAGAAAATCGATCATTTTGGCTGAAGAAGATCCAAAATGATGGGTTTTTTTTGCCATAAATCTTTGCATTTCGATAATCAAAATTAGCCGACTAACATTTCAAAAGTCGAACGGTCAAGCGCATTGAGCGCTTTTTCTAACTATTTTCCAACCATGTATTATCAGCATAGCAGGTATTCAAGATATGAGTTCAGACTTTTTCAGACATTGCTGGCTCCATCTAAATCTCCCAATGAAATGTGGAATGTGTATTAGCTCACCTTCAGTTTCTCAGGGTCCATCTCTTTCGACATTTCTTCTTTCCTCATTTCTGCAATCGTTTTGGGTCCCTTCCTCTCCTTGTGAGCGTTAAATCCCTGGCTGGAGAGCAAGTCTTCAAAATTATCCGCTGACGTCTTTTGTTTGGGTTCTGCAAGCAATAAAACGATCATTTTTACCAAATGTTCGAAAAATCTCTCTTTCATTTCAATAGATAGATAACTATTCTATTGATCCTAAAAAAAAAAAAAAAATGCAGCTCGGAAATGGTATGAGATTTTTATCTATAAAAATTTTATGTATCAGCGAAAACCTAACAGCATCCAAATATCTTTTTGGCTTTTGATATAGTTGGAAGAAATAAAGTCGACCTTCATCCTTACCTTCAGTCTGGCACAGTTGTAGCGGCTCCTCTCCGGGACTGAAATGGCTGACTCTGATTTCACTGCACACTGTGAGCTTCTCTCAATGTGCATTAGAAGCTTCAGCAAGTCAGGCATAGGTTAAAGGATGCCTGGCATTATCTAGCTTGTTCATCCCCAGCCTGGCTGTCCCCGGGCTGCCCCTTTCATTCAGTTCCTTTAATCATCAGCATCACATGTTGGTGTTACTTTGGGCATGTATGGGGCAGCACAGTGGCTAAATGGTTAGCACTTCCGCCTGGAGTTTGCAAGTTCTCCCTGTGCCTGCGTGGGTTTCCTCTGGGTAGTCCAGTTTCCTCCCTGACTCCAAAGACATGCTGGAAGGTTAATTGGCCCCGGTATGTATATGTACGAATGTGAGTTAGGGACCTTAGATTGTACGCCCCTTGAGGGTTAGGGACTGATGTGAATGTACTGTGTAAGTGCTGTGTAAATTGACGGTGCTATATAAGTACCTGAAATAAATAAATACAGCCTGCCTAGAAACGCCCACTCCTCCAGACTGACGCAGACCCATCAAGGTATTTTCAGGATGCTTCCTGATGATGTCACACTGACGAAACGCGTAGAGGCAGGACTTCTTGTAGTCACTTCTGGTATTTGGAGTGCACGCCGCCTCCAGGGTGGAGCAGCAGTGCTCTTACTAAAAACACAGGCGGGTTGTTACAGTGCCAGGTATTGGCACCTCTAAATAAGAACATTAATTTTACTTGTTTTTAATCACACGTCTAATAAAATACTGCACTATATTTCGCTTGGGTGTTTGTGTGAGCTGATAGAGAATATGGAGAGAGTGATAGGAGAATAAAGACATCCCATCTCCCTGAGCGGCAGGGGATCCTGGATTAATGAAATGAAGCGCTTGCAGACCTTCTTTTTTAACCAAAGAGGTCTAGGTGGTCTGGCGCGTGATTTAGTCCTTTCGCTGACAGCTCCGTACATCACATGGAGCTGACAGCGGGGGGTTTTACACACAATCCAGTGACTTCCTGCAGCCGCTGGGATTGTTTCTAAAACTCCTGTGCTGACGCCCAATTGCTTCCACAGCCCCTGGAAACGTGTCCCTCCCGCACGCGCTCCCACGATGCATTCCGGGCTCCTCTTGCCCATCTGTAGGCCCAAGGGCCAACATGGTGGGTGCTGGTGGGTGTAGAGGAGAGCTGACACACGTTCGCTCTCCTCCCCTTCTTACTGTGACCCAGAAAGCAACATGTATAACGTCATTTCCGGATCACCACTGGCACTTTCCCCAGCTAGAATAGCCGGGAAGAGATGTATTGCAAAGTGATCTGCATTGTAACACATCCAGTGGGACCCAGAGGAGACATTGGGGGTCTTTTAGACTCAATAAAGAGAACCTGTCACCTAAAAATCATCACACAGGTGTCCCCTATGTGATGAAAAAAAAAAAAAAAAAGTTAAGTAAAAAAAATAATTATTTTTTGCAAAGCACATAACATCCCCCCTCCCACCCAAAAACATTTTGAGGCCTCTCAAAAAATGTAGATTTCAATACATGAAATAAAAATGTAGTATTGCGCTCACAACCTTCCAATCTATATAACTAAACAAAAAAATGTGTATACGATATACATAGATGACTATTTGTGAATCTATTGAAATCCACTCTCATCAGCAAAATTCAAAAAAACAGTGAAAAATTACTAAATAATCATAATATAATATAATAATAATGTCCCACAGAGAAATTAGTGACTTTGTGCTGAAAAATCTTCAATATCTTTAAATAGGTGACTGCTTGTGCCTCCTCCCTCAAGTGAAGATGTGCGCTCACCTCATAGATAGCCTGCAATTAGGCTATTAAAGCTTGCGGTTCACCTCCTTTGGAACCTACTTGTATAGGAACTTCTGTTTTATAAGATAACCATGAAATGCGACATGTGCTGTGGAAAAATATCCTCTCACTGGGTGCTGATGAGAGTGGATTTCAATAGATTCACAAATAGTCATCTATGTATATATATACACATTTTTTTGTTTAGTTATATAGATTGGAAGGTTGTGAGCGCAATACTACATTTTATATTTCACGCTTTTTTCACATTGGTAGTTATGTGCTAGAAGTTTGCGATCCAACAATAGGAATTTTATTACTTGGCTCGCAAGATTTTTCAAATAAATAGATTTCAATACATGTTTCCCATTGGAAGAAAAATATATTTTAAATATATTTTTCCCAAATACATTGACATATATTTGAAATACTACAATTTTGGTCATATTCAAAATATATAATATATATATATACTGCATGTTGAAATACGTTTTTTATGCATTACAAAATATCTGAAAAATATTTTTTTTTTGCATATATATATATATATATATATATATATATATATATTATACTGTATGTTGAAATGCGTTTATTACAAAGTATATGAAAAATATTTTTAAAAATAAATTTTCAAATATACTGTATGTCTTTAAAAATACAAATATACATTTTTGAAATGCATACAAACATATGTAAAAACATATGTTAAAATACATTTTGTATATGTTAAACAAAATCTGAAGCATATGTTTAAAAAAATATATATATTTTTCATATATTTTGTAATGTATAAAATACGCATTTCAACATGCTATATATATATATATATATATATATATATATATATATATACTAATATATATATATATATTGAAACATATTGAATATGGCCAAAATTGTAGTATTTCAAATATATGTCAATATATTTGGGAAGAATATTTTTAAAATATATTTCAAATATATTTTTGTTCCATGTGGGTACAAAGCGGTGCACATGCCAGAATGAGAACACTAATTCTAGCGCAAAACCTCCTCCGTGACACTAAATTGATGACCTGTATCATCACCTATTGAAAATATAGGGTACTGGAGTTTTATGCCATTTCACAGGTGCATGCAAATTTAAGGTTTGACACGTTGGGTATCTATTTACTCGCTGCAACCTCGACTTTTATATTTTACCAAAAATTTGGGAAATTTATTGTGTTGGTTTGCCGTAAAATTCACTTTAGTGTGCATTTTACTGGTATATTTAGATATTGTTACATATAGCGCCCCCTATCTTCTTTGTTCATTATCAAGCGTATGCCATTACACTGGGCAGGCAGTTTATCAGGTTTATTAATTTTGGACACTGTGGTGCGGAGGTTTCAGTTTTGTTTAATTATGAGATTTTATTGACTGGATTACATCTATTTCAACATCTTCCTGATAGGCTAAGAAACTGAACATTCACAATGAAAGCTCATTATCCTTGAATGAACACATACCAGGGCCGGTTGGGTGTTTCCCCTTGTCGTTGTGTCCAGCGTTCGCCGTGGCAAAGCTGATATTGTAATTTGGTCTATTTTGGGGTGAGGAGTGTGTAGTGTTTTGCTGCGGCTTGGAATGAGTCTGCCAGGTGTATCCTGTATTCGGTTGCCAGCCGTGTTGAGGGGATGGCTTCTGCGGTGAACCCACTGGTGGAAATCCACCTCCACATCCTGTTGGCGTTGTGGGTTTACTTGCAAAGGATGAGCCACCTGAAAAGAAGAGGGTGGGTTAAGCATTACCACGTTCTGCGGCAGGTACAAGCAAAGACATTAGGTTAGAACTTCCGTATTTAAGAAAATTCTCATAATACTCTGGACCACCTAAAACCCAACTATCTTGTGATGAAGGCCATATGGGGGGTGAAAAGGAGCTCAAAATTCAAAATGAACCTGGTACCAATGCAAGACATACACCAGAAGAGGTTTTTGGAGTCATCAGGAGGTACTGAAGCAAGCATATGAACAAAAGCCAAGTTTGATGCCTCAAGAAACGTGCTTGAACCAACAATTCTCCAGAAATGAGGAGAAAATGGCCAGGTGAGGCTTACTTTTGGCAGTTTTTTTTTTTTTTTTTTTTTTATCAACTATTTGAAAAAATGCTCTTTTGATGCTTACATTGATTTGAAGACCACAGGATAAAAACTGCAGATACAGGAAACTAAAGCCACGTAGGCCGAAACGCGTCAACTTTCTTGTATCTGCAATTTTTATGCTGTGGTCTTCAAATGAATGTCAACATCTAAAGAGCATCTATGGCCGTGTGGATCCCTCCTTACCTTACTAATGCATACAGCTGAGCAACTGTGGATCGGGCACCTGTGACTCTTCTTCATTCAAGGTATAAGGGTAGTAGTCCTTTTGTTGTCGATAGAAGGGTAGTAGCCCTTTTGTTGTGGATACAAGGGTAGTAGCCACTTTTGTTGTGGATGTAAAGGTAGTAGCCTTTTGTTGTGGATGTAAGGGTAGTAGCCCTTTTGTTGTGGATATAAGGGTAGTAGCACTTTTGTTGTGGATATAAGGGTAGTAGCACTTTTGTTGTGGATATAAGGGTAGTAGCACTTTTGTGTGGATATAAGGGTAGTAGCCCTTTTGTTGTCGATATAAGGGTAGTAGCACTTTTGTGATGGATACAAGGGTAGTAGCACTTTTGTGGTGGATATAAGGGTAGTTGCCCTTTTGTTGTCGATATAAGGGTAGTAGCCCTTTTGTGGTGGATGTAATGGTAGTAGCCCTTTTGTGGTGGATGTAAGGGTAGTAGCACTTTTGTGGTGGATATAAGGGTAGTAGCCTTTTGTGGTGGATATAAGGGTATAGCACTTTTGTGGTGGATATAAGGGTAGTAGTCCTTTTGTGGTGGATATAAGGGTAGTAGCACTTTTGTGGTGGATATAAGGGTAGTAGCACTTTTTTGATATAAGGGTATAGTCATTTAGGGATACAAGGGTAGTAGCACTTTTGTGGTGGATACAAGGTAGCTCTGAGGAAGAAGGGACACCCTTCGAAACGCGTCAGCTGTACTGAATATCCATCCCTTCAATGGGATTCGCGCTATCTTCAAGTCCCTTTGAGGACTTACATGCCTGATTTTATTCGCTGTTTGTGAGTATATTTTTATAATTAATACATTTTGGTTACTGAGGCAATGCGCAAGGTTGGTGCGCTTCTCGTTTTCATTTAGTTCTGCGGTATTGGTCAGGCTTCCCCAGCCTTGTTTGGAGCTGCACAACCCTATATGCATTGGTGGACGATTTTTCCAGGTCTGGTTCCATCTATTCGCCACCCGTCTGGGTCCTAGAGCGCAGAGAATTCGTCTTTGATATAAGGGTAGTAGCACTTTTGTGGTGGATACAAGGGTAGTAGCACTTTTGTGGTGGACACAAGGGTAGTAGCACTTTTGTGGTGGATACAAGGGTAGTAGCACTTTTGTGGTGGATACAAGGGTAGTAGTACTTTTGTGGTGGATACAAGGGTAGTAGCACTTTTGTGGTGGATACAAGGGTAGTAGCACTTTTGTGGTGGATACAAGGGTAGTAGCACTTTTGTGGTGGATACAAGGGTAGTAGCACTTTTGTGGTGGATACAAGGGTAGTAGTACTTTTGCGGTGGATATAAGGGTAGTAGCACTTTTGTGGTGGATACAAGGGTAGTAGCACTTTTGTGGTGGATATAAGGGTAGTAGCACTTTTGTGGTGGATATAAGGGTAGTAGCCCTTTTGTGGTGGATATAAGGGTAGTAGTCCTTTTGTGGTGGAATAAATTCAATTCACAGAGTTCTTTGGTTATACAATTCCACTCAATGGGCGGCACAGTGGCTAAATGGTTAGCACTTCCGCCTGGCAGTACTCGGGTCATCAGTTCGAATCCAATCCATGCCACCTCCTGCCTGGAGTTTGCATGTTTTCCCTGTGCCTGCGTGGGTTTCCTCCGGGTACTCTGGTTTCCTCCCACACTCCAAAGACATGCTGGTAGGTGAATTGGCTCCTGTCTAAATTGTCCCTAGTATGTGTATGTATGAATGTGAGTTAGGGACCTTAGATTGTACACCCCTTGAGGGTTAGGGACTGATGTGAATGTACAATATATATGTAAAGTGCTGCGTAAATTGACAGCGCTATATAAGTACCTGAAATAAATAAACAATGTGACAACAATCATTTTGCGTGGGAGCACAATTACAGAGCAAGGGACATATCTCACGAAAAAAAAAAAAAAAGACCTGTAAGATTTGCTCCTAGGTTTTCCAAGGTCGGCAAATGGATCAAGGCTCTGCGGCTTGGCTTGGTGCAACGGTGTGCCATGGGGGAGCCGGTAGGAGTTGTGGCTCCTGATCTGCTTCCTACTCCTAATCCACCTGTGGAACATCAAAAGAATGAAAGAACTCGAGGAATTCGCATCGTGAATCATAATTGCCATTGCAGTATTAGAATCATCCGCAGTCAGGAATGGCTACTTCTGCAGCAGACAGCTATCTATGTGCGATCACTGGTAGTACCTTGGATAACATTTACAATTGAAGGAAAGGATGTTGAAGTGTATGTACAGTTGTGGCCAAAATTATTCAACCCCCAATGCTGTAAAGGGGTTTAGGGACTATAGTGTACATTTGGAATTGTATTCAGAATCAAATCCTACAAGGACGTTGTAACTACCCAAATGCAACTAAAATGACATCAATTGTTTATGTAATACAGTAGTAAATGGTTCTTATGTGGTTTCTTCATTGCCACAATTATTCAACCCCTTAAAGACTACCACTCTGAAGAACAGAGTTCATACAGGTGCTTTCCATCAGGTATTGAAAACACCTGTGGATGTCACCGAGCAGCAATCAAGCATAATAAGCACCAATTAGGCAGCTTTAAAATGACTGTGATACTCAGCTCCTTCTAGACATTTACTGGTGTGGTTACAAACATGGTGAAGGCAAGAGAATGGTCCAGGAAGACAAGAGAAGAGGTGATTTCTCTTCACAGGAAGGGCAATGGCTATAAGAAGATTGCAAAGATGTTAAACATACCAAGAGACACCTTAGGAAGCATCATTCGCAAATTCAAGGCAAAGGGCACTGTTGAAACGCTACCTGGTCGTGGCAGAAAGAAGATGCTGACTTCGACTGCTGTGCGCTACCTGAAGCGTAGAGTGGAGAGAAGTCCCCGTGTGACTGCTGAGGAACTGAGAAAAGATTTGTCAGATGTGGGTACAGAAGTTTCAGCCCAGACAATAAGACGCACACTGCGTAATGAAGGCCTCCGTGCCAGAACTCCCAGGCGTACCCCCTTGCTGTCTCCAAAGAATAAGAAGAGTCGACTGCAGTATGCCAAAAGCCATGTGGACAAACCACAAAAGTTGTGGGATAGTGTTCTGTGGACTGATGAAACAAAATTAGAACTGTTTGGGCCCATGGATCAACGCTATGTTTGGAGGAGGAAGAACAAGGCCTATGATGAAAAGAACACCTTGCCTACTGTGAAGCATGGTGGAGGGTCAATCATGCTTTGGGGCTGTTTTGCTTCTGCAGGTACAGGGAAGCTTCAGCGTGTGCAAGGTACCATGAATTCTCTTCAGTACCAGGAGATATTGGATGGAAACGTGATGCAGTCCGTCACACACCTGAGGCTTGGGAGACGTTGGACCTTTCAACAGGACAATGATCCCAAGCATACCTCCAAGTCCACTAGAGCATGGTTGCAGAGGAAAGGCTGGAACATTTTGGAGTGGCCATCGCAGTCACCAGACTTAAATCCGATTGAGAACCTCTGGTGGGACTTAAAGAAAGCAGTTGCAGTGCGCAAGCCTAAGAATGTGACTGAACTGGAGGCCTTTGCCCATGAAGAATGGGCGAAGATACCCGTAGATCGCTGCAAGACACTTGTGTCAAGCTATGCTTCACGTTTAAAAGCTGTTATAACTGTAAAAGGATGCTGTACTAAGTACTAAGATTGAATGTCACTTGGGGGTTGAATAAAACTGATAATGCTGTGAGCACAGAAAAGACATTTGTGGTTATTTCATTATAACTGTTATGTTATATTTGTCTGACCTACAAGTGCCTCTTTAATGTAAATGTAAGCAAGATGACTGAATGATCAAAAGCAATGTCAAAACTGGCCAAAACACTCAATTTCAGTGGGGGTTGAATAATTTTGGCCACAACTGTACACCTTGACATCACACCTCTCTAATTTGCTCCCTTTTGGCCTGTCAATATACCACTGAAAGCATGTTTTGTAAAAATACTCGTTGATCCTGCCAGAAATCTTAGGAGCTGATAACTTCCCATGTTGACTACACTGTTACTGGCTTCATTTTTTCCCAGCTATCTCTAAGCAGTGGTGTATTTTGGTTTTGTGCTGCCCTAGGCAACAAAAAAAAAAATCGAAATCCCCCTCCCCACCCCAGGGGAGAGAGCCTGGCATCGACCAACACCACCAATCCTACCCCCAACCCCCCCACCCTTTCCCGTGGAGATAGCCTGACATTGACCAGCAAACACCATTTACCCCCCCCCCCCACCCGAGAGAGCCTTCCATTAACATACAACCACCTCCACCCCCCCCTTTCCCGGGAGAGAGAAAGACACTCACCTTCACAGCTCCGGAGATCCCCGGGAACAAGAGTCAGGCTCTGCATACACCATCAAGCAGCCTCTCTCAGATCCCACCTGGTCCCTGTGCTGCGCGTGCCCATTCTTCTGGGGGCAGTGCTGCCCCCCTGAAAAATGCTGCCCTAAGCAAATGCTTTTTTTTTGACTTTTGGTAAAAACTCCTCTGTCTCTAAGGACTACAGAATCCCTCCCCTCTGTGTTATGGAGAAAGGGGGGTATTGTAGTCCAATCCTCGTGTGACAATGCTTTTCTTCTATAGAGTACAGTGAGTGTTGTAATTCTAGGATGGGAAGTCTGTTACTGGCAGGATCAGCAGGTGAAAATGAAGGAAAACAAGCCTGAAAAAAGAAAATACATGCAGCCATCACATCCAAGGACTGGTAAGCTGCAATTCTTTTTAGCTTACACATGCTTTAACCACTTGCCGCCTGCCCACAGTACATTTAGGCAGGCTGGGTCACAGACATGTACATGATCCGGCCTGCTCTGGGTTAGGGGCACACAAATAACGGCTCCCGCGACCGCTGTGTCCACCCGGACTCCCGGTACCCAGCTGGGGATCATGTGATCACTAAGAGATCCCATTGTCAACAAAGCTGGTATGAATTAATCTCATTCATAACAGTTGTGCTTCCTATACATTAATGCAGTGATTGGCCCACAGCTATCACATGGTGCCTGGGCCAATCACAGCACTCTGTACTATGTGATTAGATGTAGACAATCACAGATCACTAGTAATCACAGCTCTAATCCATTCATGACAGTTCATAACATTACTGATCATCACTGTAACAGCAATCAAAGTGTAAAAAAAAAAAAAAAAAAACCTGTTTAAAAAAAATAAATACAAAAACTCTTTAATTTTGTAAAATGCTGTACCAACTGTAGGTGCTATATAAATCCTGTACAATAATAATCTGCAAATGTTTTATTAGCAAGAATTCAAAAAAGTTTGAAAAGGTAGTAGGCAATGCAAACTGCTTCCAGCGACAGGTGACACCATTACTCAATAGCTGCATTAGCACAGCCCTTCTCTCTGCACGCTGCACAGTACACTCTACAGATTTGTCACCTTCAGGGCCTTTGCAAGGAACTGTATTGCACTATTCACAGCTCAAACATCCCCTTCATCAGTGGTCTCCAAACTGCGGCCCTGGGCCGGATGTGGACCTTGGGCCCTTATTCCCTCCACTGTCAGCAACAGTGGGGCATAGTTCCTGACACTGACAACTATTCCTCACACTCACACCAGTGATGGGGCACTATTCCTCCTACTGACACCAATGATGGAACACTATTCCTCCTACTGACACCAATGATGGGGCACTATTCCTCCTACTGATACCAATGATGGGGCACTATTCCTCCCACTGATACCAATGATGGGGCACTATTCCTCCCACTGATACCAATGATGGGGCACTATTCCTCCCACTGATACCAATGATGGGGCACTATTCCTCCCACTGATACCAATGATGGGGCACTATTCCTCCCACTGACACCAATGATGGAGCACTATTCCTCCCACTGACACCAATGATGGGGCACTATTTCTCCCACTGATACCAATGATGGGGCACTATTCCTCCCACTGATACCCAATGATGGAACACTATTCCTCCCACTAAACCAATAATGGGGCACTATTCCTCCCACTGACACCAATGATGGAGCACTATTCCTCCCACTGATACCAATGATGGGGCACTATTCCTCCCACTAATACCAATGATGGGGCACTATTCCTCCCACTGACACCAATGATGGAGCACTATTCCTCCCACTGACACCAATGATGGGGCACTATTCCTCCCACTAATACCAATGATGGGGCACTATTCCTCCCACTCACACCAATGATGGGGCACTATTCCTCCCACTGACACCAATGATGGGGCACTATTCCTCCTACTGATACCAATGATGGCAATTTATTCCCTCCAATACCATATTCTGCTCCTGCTGGTCACAGTCCGGCCCTCCTAAAGTTTGAAGGACAGTGAACTGGCCCTTTGTTCAGAAAGCTTGGAGACCTCTGCCCTTTATGATGGATCTTCCAGCAGCTGGGTAAGGAGAACCATTCATGTATAGAAAATGTTTGTTCTATAGATATGTGTCACTGTGCATCGTGTACTGTATATGTCCTCTCTCTGTTTGATGAAATACAGATGGGAAGGTATGTGCACACAGCCTTCAAAAGTCTTGGAAAGCTAAGTGGCCGGTTGCACAATAAAAGTAAAATAAAAAATAAAATAACCTGCGTTTTACCTGGAGAAGGAGCACCCCAGTCCCATGATGAAGACACATCAGGTTGGATAGACACAGATGGAGGAGCTGAAAAAACATAATAAATTATCCAATAGTAACACGTTCTGCTGTATCTTCTAGCAAATTATAATATCAGTTCTGGGGTTGTCTTGGGGAATTTATAAAAAATCTCACTAAGCAAATGCATTCACACAGCCCTTGCGATTAATCCTCACAGTGTATATGTCATATGTATTTTCTATGATCATCAGCTCCATCTACTGGCCATTATGCTGTATTTTCCCCGAAATGCTGCAATCAGGAAAGTACCGCATTATGGTCACTGGTAGGAGCTGATGATCACAGGACATATACCTTTTAGACACATTAGAGTTTATTAGAGAAAATCTGGTGCAGCTCTGCATATAAACCAATCAGCATCCAGGTTTTATTGACAAATGTAAAAGTTGAAGTTAGGTGATTGGCTGCCATGCACAGCTGCACCAGTTTTACTAAAACTCCCCTATTAAGTGGGATTATTTACGACTGTGCTAAAGCAAAGGCATTCTCACAGCAAATTTCACCCCTTTCCTGTCCAGGCCATTTTTCACCTTTCAGCGCTATCGCACTTTGAATGACAATTGCGCGGTCATGCAGCACTGTACCCATATGAATTTTTTTAGTGTTTTTGTGAGACAGATAAAACTTTATTTTGGTGGTATTTATTCACCGCTGGGGTTTTAATTTTTTGCTATATAAATGAAAAAGTCCAAAAATTGTGATAAAAAAAAGGTTTTTTTTATAAAATTTTGCCAATAAATAATATTTCTGCATAAATCTTGGCCAAAACATATTCAGCTATCTTTTTGGTAAAAAAAAAAAATTACTCAAATTAGTTTATAACCAAAAATTATAATTTTTCTAAAAAATTTTTACATTTCTATTTACCGTATTTTTCGCTCCATAAGACGCACTTTTTTTCCCCCAAAAAAAGGGGGGAAAATGTCAGTGCGTCTTATGGAGCGAATATGGAGCGGCTGGTCCGGTATTTCCACTGCCGCCGTGTCAGAATACCGGGCCGGCCGCTCAGCTCTACAGCGGGACCTTATAGAGATGACTGCTGACCTTTGGGGAGGGGGGGAGCGGGTACCTGAATTTGACAGGTACCCGCTCCCACTTCCGTGGAGTTGTTCTTTCATCTTACCCGTTCCTCTATCCAGCGGCGCGGTCTTCCCGGCTTCTGTAGTGTGGGCACTGGGCATGACAGCCGGGTACCAAGTGCGCATGCGCAAGAAGCGCGGTGCTTTTTGTGAATGGTAAGGCGGTACCTGGGACACATGACAGATCCCAGAAGCCGCCGGACCAATCACAAAGCGCAACTGCTTCTCGCTCATGCGCACTGGGCACCCGGCTGTAATGCCGAGCGCCATTACAGAAGCCGGGAAGACAGCGCACGGCTGGATAGAGGAACAGGTAAGATGAAAGAACAACTCCGCGGAAGTAAGAGCGGGTACCTGTCAAATTCAGGTACCCCCCCCCCTCCCCAAAGGTCAGCAGTCATCCCCTGTACTATCCACAGTCTCTGGTCATCTCCTGTGCTGTCCGCAGTCTCTGGTCATCTCCTGTGCTGTCCGCAGTCTCTGGTCATCTCCTGTGCTGTCCGCAGTCTCTGGTCATCTCCTGTGCTGTCCGCAGTCTCTGGTCATCTCCTGTACTATGTCCGCAGTCTCTGGTCATCCCTGTGCTGTCCGCAGTCTCTGGTCATCCCTGTGCTGTCCGCAGTCTCTGGTCATCCCTGTGCTGTCCGCAGTCTCTGGTCATCCCTGTGCTGTCCGCAGTCTCTGGTCATCCCTGTGCTGTCCGCAGTCTCTGGTCATCCCTGTGCTGTCCGCAGTTTCTGGTCATCTCCTGTGCTGTCCGCAGTCTCTGGTCATCCTTGTGCTGTCCGCAGTCTCTGGTCATCTCTGTGCTGTCCGCAGTCTCTGGTCATCCCTGTAGTGTGTCCGCAGTCTCTGGTCATCCCTGTACTGTGTCCGCAGTCTCTGGTCATCTCCTGTACTGTGTCCGCAGTCTCTAGTCATCTCCTGTACTATGTCCGCAGTCTCTGGTCATCTACTGTACTGTGTCTGCAGTCTCTGGTCATCTCCTGTACTGTGTCTGCAGTCTCTGGTCATCTCCTGTACTGTGTCTGCAGTCTCTGGTCATCTCCTGTACTGTGTCCGCAGTCTCTGGTCATCTCCTGTACTATGTCTGCAGTCCATTAGTTCAGAATTTTTTTTTCCTGTTCTCTGCCTCTAAAACCTAGGTGCGTCTTATGGAGCGAAAAATACGGTAATTTTTTTTTTATATTATTTTTTTTTTTTTTTAAACATACTGTCACCCTAGCAGTATAGTGTCACCATGGTGACACTGTACTACTTGTGAGGGGTGAAGAAGATTTTTTTTTCTATTTTTTTACACTGATTGCTTTTAGAACCATAAAGGCTGTAAAAGCAATCATTTCTCCTTCTCTCTGGCTGCATTCCTGCAGCCATTGACAAATACTGTGTGAGCTGTGATTGGTTAAACCTTGTCACATGGTACAAGGCTGCTGTGAATAGCCTTGTACCATGTGACCGCTGTGATCATTCACAGATTTCACAAGTAGTAAGTAATGATGTCAGGAAGTGACATCTTTTTTACTACTATTCATGTGATCACTGATTGGCCAATCAGTGATCGCATGAATCGGGACTTCACACAGTGGTCCCATACAGCGATCGGTGTTCTGCGTTGCCGAATGCTCGCAGGGAACACACAAGGCAATGAACGCGGGTGACGTTTAGAAACATCAACCTGCTCCGGTTGCGCTCCCGTCCGGCTGTTTATCTACATGGGCCAGACGGGAAGTGGTAATGCATAAAACCAATTGCCAATGTATTCACAAAGGTACGCGACAGTGCATAGAGAGCTCTGAAGAAGAGGGCTTTGCCCTTGAAACGCGTCGGCTCTGACCCTGTGGATGGACTGTGTTGGGACTGCATCTGGTACATGCACTTTGTTGTGTACCATTGTGAGTACAATGGCATTTGGTTTTATTTATTAGAGAGTTTTTATGGTATGGTGCGCCTTCTTCTTTTGCTTCTAAATTTTATTGGAAGAGTCCAACTGGAAAAGAAATCAATATTTTATCGAACAGGCTATGGCTACCAGTGGAGACTGCTAACCGGTTTCTCTGGAGTCGCTTCCTTACTGGTTGGGCCAACCGAAATGTTGCCGCCCCCCACTGCCCCTTTGCTATTGAGGGAGATTTGGCAGCTTTACTGGCCAGCAAGGAGGCAATTCCAAAGGGGTTATTGGCTGGTTTTCCGGGGTATTCTGCTGGTGATGTGCGACATGGACCTGAGAATGGTTGTTATCTCCCAATAGCCACCAGATACATTCATACTGGAAAATGACATTAATAAAGATTGAATCTGATGACTGAAGAAACAATGAAAGTTCTTAGTGCCAACCTTCTTATACATTAATGCAGTGTTTCTCAATCTTTAATCAGTCAAAGCACCCTTCAAAATTATAGACAGTCCCGAGGCGCCCTTCAAAATTATAGACAGTCCCGAGGCACCCTTCAAAATGATAGACAGTCCCGAGGCACCCTTCAAAATTATAGACAGTCCCGAGGCGCCCTTCAAAATTATAGACAGTCCCGAGGCGCCCTTCAAAATTATAGACAGTCCCGAGGCGCCCTTCAAAATTATAGACAGTCCCGAGGCGCCCTTCAAAATTAAGGACAGTCCCGAGGCGCCCTTCAAAATTATAGACAGTCCCGAGGCGCCCTTCAAAATTAAAGACAGTCCCGAGGCGCCCTTCAAAATTAAGGACAGTCCCGAGGCGCCCTTCAAAATTATAGACAGTCCCGAGGCACCCTTCAAAATTAAAGACAGTCCCGAGGCGCCCTTCAAAATTAAAGACAGTCCCGAGGCGCCCTTCAAAATTAAGGACAGTCCCGAGGCGCCCTTCAAAATTATAGACAGTCCCGAGGCGCCCTTCAAAATTAAAGACAGTCCCGAGGCGCCCTTCAAAATTAAGGACAGTCCCGAGGCGCCCTTCAAAATTATAGACAGTCCCGAGGCGCCCCTCAAAATTATAGACAGTCCCGAGGCGCCCCTCAAAATTATAGACAGTCCTGAGGCACCGCATTCTAAAACGTAAAAAACTATTCTAATAGTTTTATATAACGCAGCAACATCCACACATGTAGGACACCCAACATTAGAGGGGATTTATTCTTCCAGAGCAAACACACTTTCACTCACTGGTACTGACTAGTATTCCAATGTTTCTCTTCTCCCTCAGTTTTTCTCCACCACTGAGCTTACGTGACGCCAGCACTGATGGAGAGGGGCAGGGGAGGGTCAAACTAGGATGCTGTGCAGGCAGCTGACATCCTCCTTATCAATTGATGATGTCATTGGTTGTCAGAACGCCGGCAGCTAGAAGGTCATAATGGTGCACAATGAAAACCTGTGTCTTTGTGTAACTAAAAGACAGGCTGGTTCCACCCGCTGGCTTGTATACAAGTGTTGGGCAATTTGTTAGACATTTTGCCAAGGCACCCTGAAAAACCTCAAGGCACCCCAGGGTGTCTGGGTACCCTGGTTGAGAAAGGCTGCATTAATGTACAGTATGATATGAAAGAACCCAGACAAATAGAACAACACACTTACAGAAAAACATGTTTGTTCGAAGAAAAAAATGTTTTCTTTACAGGATCCCCAATCCATCAAAAACCTTGTTTACATTAGAAGCCCAAGGGGTGGTAAAACTAGGCAGTTGAGCCACCATTTTACAACCCCCGACTGCCAAGCCACAACCTTAGCAAGTCAGCATAATGTAGGTGGGGGCTGTACAGACACTACATATTTTTTTACTCTGTCAGAGCTGAGTAATTGCCCTGCCAATGATTTCAGCAACTCCCATATTTGAAAGCAATATCCCAGTTTTCCAACAGTTTAAAGTCCCAGTGTGCACAGATCAGGACCTAGGTCACAGCGCTTTTACCCATGTTAAACGGATCCACTTGGACTGTCGGGCTGGGAGAGGGGCTTCTGGCGCCTTGCAGAAATGGGTCTCCTGCCGTGGCATTTGAAGCGCTGAGGAAGGAGCCGAGTAAGTCCTGAGCTGGCTGCTTCGGACTTGATCCAAAGGGATCAAAGGTGGATGCTGTGGAGGATAAAGAAAGTTACCATGAGCAACGCTACAACGTGATGACATCGCCAGTCATGTGACAGGAGAATGCGGCGCATGGGAAAGCATCTCCGCGCTTTTGTCCTGGATGCCGGGTGTCATTCTCGGTATCTGTTCCTATGCTGTATGTATGGACTCTGCACAGTAATACTGCTCCTGTCCTGGATGCGGGGTAATTCTCGGTATCTGTTCTTATTCTATATGTATGGACTCTTGCACAGTAATACTCCTCCTGTCCTGGATGCCGGGTGTAATTCTTGGTATCTGTTCCTATGCTGTATGTATGGACTCTGCACAGTAAGACATCTCCTGTCCTGGATGCGGGGTAATTCTCGGTATCTGTTCCTATTCTGTATGTATGGATATTTTTATTTGTATAAACAAACAAATTACAAGGTAACAAAACTGTAACCATCATCATAAAAAACACACAAACCAACAATGTAACAACTGCCTACATCTTCACGACAGAAAGTCAACAAATTAAACTAATGAAAGTTCTGCATAGAATTTGATGCTGTAAATAAATTCCTCCCATTTTATATTCCTTTCGGCTCTAAACTCTTTTTATAAATCGGAATCTGAGTCACTCTGCCGACTACCAGTTTCCATATCGGATTCTACAAATACGGGAGCCGGGGGCGGGCGCTTCTTAGTGGGCGGGTCCTCCCCTGAACTAGCTGCAGATTCCCTTTCTACTTCTTCCTCCATTTGGGCCTCTAGATCACAGGAGTTGGCATCTGACTCTGAGAGGACATCATACTGGTTGCTGACTGCCATACTACCTTCTGGCGCCCTTCTCACTTTCTTAACGGATTTCTGCGCTCGGGTCCATTCACTTTCAGGTTTACGGGTGGCCTTGTCCTTCCTATTCCTTCTCTTCTGCCTGGGAATGTTCTCCACAGAGGCAGGAACTGAAATGGATGGGATGGCCACAGATGGCCGCTGCTCCTCAGTCTGCTGAACACTGCCCTCCTGCCCGAGGCTGGCCCCTTGGACTTCTGGGTTTACCTCCCCCTCAGTTGATATGACCCCATTCATTAAGGCTTCCTCCTCCAGGTGTTCTGCTGCCACCAGAAATTCCTCATCCACTGATTCCTCATCCCTATTGTGGAAAGCCACGGGCAATCTCTGTGTAAATGGCCAAGCCTACCACATAGATTGCACTTGATGTTCTCACAGGTAGAACTGACATGGCCGACCTCCCCACACAGATTACACTTCATGATAGAGCAGACACTCGCCACATGACCCGATTTACCGCATTTGAAACATAGCCTGGGCTGACCTGCATAGAAGCAAACTCCCCTCTCCCGCCCAATGAAAAAGGAGTTTGGAAGGTGATGGGTGACATTGTTACTCTGCCTCAGCTTGACAAGAACCCTCCAACCTCCAGTCCAGATCCCATCACTGTCCCTAGTTTTTGGTCAGATCAGAGACCATCTCACAATGCCTTCTGAGCCAGACTACAATATCCTGGGGGGGCACAGACTCATTCCAGAAAATGATGTTAACGTTTGCTGTGTCAGGTTTGGAGATGGGGATGAAGGTGAAAATCTTCCACCCCTCTTTATCCCGAAACCCACTAAAGCCGGCCCAGAACCTGTCCAAGCCAGACATGAGCTTGAAGCTGACATCATACCCCTGTCTGTCAGGGAGGTTGATGACTGCCAAAATATCTGCGGGCACAAACCCCATCTGCTGACACAGCAACTCCCTAACTACAAACCTCCTATCAGGAAGCTCTTCTCTGGAACCCCTATGCTTCAACCTGACCACGTTCCTCCTCTTGAAGGCCTGACCAGTATAACCGGCATTGTTTGGGAAAAGAAGGAGCCCCACGGCTCCAGGCATTCCGAGGAGGGACATGGCCAGATGGACCACTATTCTCTTGTGATGCAGGTGGCGGCTCAACCAAAGGGGGGAAATCACGGGTGTTATCCTGAACTGACTCCTCCATCGCCACATTCACAGGATCCTCAGACTGGTCCTGACCCCATCCAGACATACCTACCTCAGTGTTAATGACATCAGGAACCCCTACATCAATATTAGTGATATCAGCACTGGCCATATCACCACTAGCATCAGCAGCTTCATCTGCATAATTATCAACTACCCCATCCCGAACATCAGTCCCCTCAGCATTGGTTCCACCATGAGAACCGGGGGTAGCAACACCGTCCCCATAGTCCATGTGCTGGGAGTCCATGTCGCTTCTCTGAGTTTCCTGCACTATGAAAGTCTGCTGGGTGAAGCTGACGCTACCGCTATCCTCCAGAGCTGGAGTCTGTCTTTCAGGAAGCACATTTGCTGGTAGCGTGCCTTGGATCAGTTCCCCGGAGTCTGACTCTGAAGAAGACTCCATCTTTACACTTAATTGTGCCCCAACCCAATCGCAATCCCGATACACCTCCCCCCCTGGTCCCAGTTCTTCCAGAACAGCATCAATGTCCCTCGATATACCGGCCAGTTCAATGCCCAGGGAGTTAAGCTCGCTGTCATGTAGGACTTCATTCCCGGGGTCGGCAGCCTTGAGTCTGTAGATGGAGTCAATCCTTTTCTGGGTCGAAGCCTTAGCTTTCCTCAAGGTCTTCATTCTCTTCTCCAGAGCAGGAATCCTGTCAGCCAGGCGCAGCACAGGTGACTTTAACACTTTCTGCTTCCTATCCGCGGGACGCTTGAAATTCTGATCCCCATCAGCGGTACTGGGTGAAGGGTCTCTGCTGGATGTAGAAGGACTCTCCGGGCCAGACTGTGGAGGCTTATTGGCTCCATCATCTTTCTTCTGCCGGGACCTGGGGGGCGTAATGAGCGTTCCTGGCCACTGCCCACCATTACACACTGCTGTAAGTTCTCCTTCAGAGTTTTCTGCTCCAACGTAGTCCTTGCAGATCTGCGCGGAGTACTGGGAGTGACAGGTGTCTCTACTCCGCTCTGAACTGTATGGGCCCGCTCTGAGCGGCCTGTGCTGGGCTCTGTGCGGCATGGGCTCCACTCTTCTGGGCTTGCTTTGTTTGCAATGGCTGACTGCCTTTTGTTGCTACTCCAGAGCTGGTAGTGTGCTGGGTGATAGTGTCACTTTCCTGAGCCATATGGACTGTGTGATCACCACTCTGCACGGCATGGACTTTGCACTGTATGGCATGGGCTCTACTCTGCTGGACTTGCTTTTGTTGCAATGACTGACTGCCTTGATTTACAGTTCCAGAACTTGAAGCATGCCGGGTGACAACCTTACATTCCTGAGCTGCATGGACTGTATGGGTTCCGCTCTGCACAGCATGGGCCCCACTCTGCTGGGCTTGTGGTGCCTGTAATGGCTGACCGCATGGAGTTAGACCTCCATGACTTGGACTGTGCAGGGTGACAACATTACATTGCTGTTTAAACAGAATTGACTGAGCTCTGCTCTGCTGGTCTTGCTGCGACTGTAATGGCTGACTGCCTTGGGTTGCACTTCCAGAGCTTGGAGTGCGCTGGGTGACAACATTACATTGCTGTTTAGGCTGAACTGGATGGGCCCCGCTCTGCACGGCATGGGCCCCGCTCTGCACGGCATGGGTTTTGCTATGCTGGGCTTGCGGTGCCTGTAATGGTGGACTGCCCGGAGTTGGACCTCCAAGGCTTGGACTAGGCTGGGTAACAACATCACATTGCTGGACAGACTGAACTTTCCTCTGCTTGGCTTGTTGTGCCTGTAATGGCGGACTGTCTTGGGTTGCTCCTCCAGAACTTGGAGTTTGCTTGGTGACAGCCTTACATTGCTGTTTAGACTGAACTAGATGGGCCCCGCTCTGCACGGCATGGGCTCCGCTCTGCACGGCTTGGGCCTGCTGTGGTTGCAATGGCTGACTGCCTTGAGCTGCTCCTCCAGAGCTTGGAGTTTGCTTGGTGACAACATTACATTGCTGTTTGGACTGAACTGACTGGGCCCTTCTCTGCTGGGCATGCTGTGGCTGCAATGGCGGACTGCCATGTGCTGCACTTCCAGAACTCACACTTTGCTGAGAGACATTCTCACCCTGCTGGACTGACTTCATCTTCTCTGTATTAACAGAACTTCTCACACTGGACTTTCCATCACCAACATTCCCCCATCTACTCACAGTCTCTGCCATTTGCTTTCCATTCACTGAACTCCGTCCTCCCGCTTCACCACCAACCACAGCTTCACCTCCATGAGCAGGCCGAGAAGCCTGGGACTCTCCTGGGAGGCGTCCCAGCCCAGGGCAGCCCAACCCTGGGCTTGTATCAGACATCAGAGGAGGTCAGCACCACACAGCCTGCAGCTGCTCCACAGGAAACCACACCCTCTGCACAGTCCCACTTCACCTGTCCTGGATGCCGTGTGTAATTCTTGGTATCTGTTCCTATTCTGTATGTATGGACTCTGCACAGTAATACTGCTCCTGTCCTGGATGCCGGGGTAATTCTCGGTATCTGTTCCTATTCTGTATGTATGGACTCTGCACAGTCCCACTTCTCCTGTTCTGCATGCCGTGTGTAATTCTTGGTATCTGTTCCTATTCTGTATGTATGGACTCTGCACAGTAATACTCCTCCTGTCCTGGATGCGGGTGTAATTCTCGGTATCTGTTCTTATTCTATATGTATGGACTCTGCACAGTAATACTCCTCCTGTCCTGGATGCCGGGTGTAATTCTTGGTATCTGTTCCTATTCTGTATGTATGGACTCTGCACAGTAAGACATCTCCTGTCCTGGATGCCGGGTGTAATTCTCGGTATCGGTTCCTATTCTGTATGTATGGACTCTGCACAGTCCCACTTCTCCTGTCCTGGATGCCGGGTGTCATTTTCAGTATCTGTTCCTATGCTGTATATATGGACTCTGCACAGCAATGCTTCTCCAGTCCTGGAGGCTGGGCGTCATTCTCGGTATCTGTTCCTATGCTGTATGTATGGACTCTGCACAGTCCCACTTCTCCTGTCCTGGATGCCGGGTGTAATTTTCAGTATCTGTTCCTATGCTGTATGTATGGACTCTGCACAGTCCCACTCCTCCTGTTCTGGATTCTGGGTGTAATTCTTGATATCTGTTCCTATTCTGTATGTATGGACTCTGCACAGTAATACTGTTCCTGTCCTGGATGCCGGGTGTAATTCTCGGTATCTGCTCCTTTGCTGTATATATGGACTCTTCACAGTCCCACTTCTCTATTTTTTATTATTTATCTATCTAACCCCTCATCACTCTAGCCTAAAAAAAAAACGGTTTCTAGTGATCCACATTAAGGCCTCATGCACACAGGACATTTTCCTATCTCTCCTAGAAGCCTTTCCTCCGGGCAGTGGAACGCTTGGACGCTTGTAAAAGAACGTAACGCATTTAGGCACATCAAGCTTTTGACCTTAGTTCATGTAATTGGCCAGAATAAATCATTTATTCTGGCCATTGAAATGAATTCACACTCAACAAACATGCCTAACGTTAACGCACGTTTAGACGCATTTACAAGCGTTTTTTTTCTGCCAAAACTCTGCTGCTCCTGGATGCACTAGCAGTGCAGTTATTTTTTCCTGCCTCTAAACTACTCTAAAAGTCTATGGTGTTGATTTAATAAATGCAAATCCACTGTGCACTCTGCAAAGTCAGGTTGCATTCTGCAAGTGCAGTTTCTCCAGAGTTTAGTAAATGAGCAGAAACTCTGCTGACCTCCATCAGCCAATCACGTGCAAGCAAAAATGCAGTTCTTTTTAGTTTCCTTGCATGTGATTGGGTATTCTTTGCAAAGTGAAGCTTTACCTCATTTACTAAGCTCTGGAGCAACTGCACTTGAAGAGTGCAATTGCACTTTGCAAAGTGCACAGTCTATTTGCCTTTAGTAAATCAACCCTGTGTATGCATGGACACATAGGGGTTGATTTACTAAAGACAAATAGACTGTGCAGTTGCTCCAGAGCTTAATAAATGAGCAGAAGCTCTGCTGACTTCCATCATCCAATCATGTGCAAGCAAAAACTGCTGTTTTTTATAGTTTCCTTGCATGTGACTGGGAATCCTTTGCAAACTGAAGCTTCATCTCATTTACTAAGCTCTGAACTTGAAGAATGCAATTGCACTTTGCAAAGTGCACAGTCTATTTGCCTTTAGTAAATCAACCCCACATAGGCTAACATGCAGAGGAGTTTAAAGGCAGGAAATAAAAGAAATACCAAACGTCCCTAAAAGCAGCTGTATAAACGTCCAGTGTGCATGAGGCCTTAATATGACCGTTCTGTACAACTTAGGAGGCAAGACTTAAATAATAAGTGAAACAATTAAACAGCACAAAACATGAAATGAATCAAAAATAATTATACACAAATCATAATAAATTCAGTGGTTATAAAATAAATGTCCAAAACCACCAAAATGAAAAAGATATAAAATCTGTGTCCAAATACAAAAAGTGATAAAACCAAAAACAAAGAAAGTCCCCTTTAAACATACAAATAGTGCTCCAAAATTTTTTTAAGTGTAATACAGAGAAAAGACTCCACAGATCCACACCTTCCTGTGAATACTGATGTATTCCGCACTCACCAGAGATGAGAATAAATTGCACTTTATGGATACAATATTATCCTCCAATTCCCAGGGAAAATTTCCTCTCCATAACCTCCTCCATATACAAGAGATTCCTTACATCCGACTTCAAAAGGGATTTCCCCTCATAACGATGTGTTATATAGGAAGACAAAGGAGAACCAATAGTGCAATATTGCAAAGACTTTTAATTGAATAAAATATCGCTCAATCTACTCACATAACTTAAAATAAGTCGCCAATTGACAAAATCCTCTGTGGAGTCTTTTTCTCTGTATTACACTTATCCTACATTTTTTGGAGCACTATTTGCATGTTTAACCTCCTTAGCGGTATTGCCGAGTGTAGTTCGGGGTAAAATTTGAGTACCAAAAGCGGTAACCCCGAGCTACACTCGGGCTTACCATGCGGCGTTGCTCAGGGGGTCCCTGCAGCACTTACCTTGTCCTTCGCTCCCACGATGTGTTCCCTGCAGCGTCCCCGGCCATCTCCTCCGGCCGATGCCGGCATCCGGCTTCTGTATTCTGGTCCCTGTGACGTCGGGACGTACGGGCGCCGGAACCGGCGGCAAATTTGAAATTTTTAAAAAATGTCATTTTTTTAAAAATGATTATTACATAGTATAACATTGCTGTTTCAATGCATTTCACATACATTTTGTCCCGGGGGCTTTGTCTGGCGCCCTGCCTGCATTTTGACTGTTCTTTCTGCCTGGAAACTTAGAAAAGTCCATGGCGTCCAAAAAGCGTCCCTTTAGGTTAAAAGCCGTTTTAGACCGGCTAGAGAACAGCGATAGTAAATCAGGACCACTTGCAGAATTGAGTGATAATGATTCGTGGGGGAAATTCGTCATCGGACACTGAAAACGATTCTGCGACTTTGCTCAGCGATGTGCGAATTTGCCTCTGTATTTCAAATTTCAGTGTTTTTGGTTTGATTATATTATTGAATTACATTTATTATTATAATATTATTTTTTTTTTATGATTATTTATTAAATTATAATTTATGATTTCGTGTTTCAAGTTTTATCATACCCGGGATGTTTACTAGACTCTTGTTCAGACAGATTTCAGTTAGTTATTCCTAAGAATTACAGCCTACAATAAAAAATAACATATTTCCATGCAAAAAAAAAATGGTACCGCTTTCAGCACAAAAAATCGGAAATAATCATACCGCCGAGGAGGTTAACCTCCCTGGCGGTATGATTTTCAGATTTTTGGTGCTGAAAGCGGTACCATTTTTTTGCATGGAAATATTTATTTTTTTATTGTAGGCTGTAATTCTTAGGAATAACTCACTGAAATCTGTCTGAACAAGAGTCTTGGAAACATCCCGGGTATGATAAAACTTGAAACACGAAATCATAAATTATAATTTAATAAATAATCATAAAAAATAATAATAAATTTATTTCAATAATATAATCAAACCAAAAACACTGAAATTTGAAATATAGCACCAAGTTTGCACATCACTGAGCAAAGTCGCAGAATCGTTTTCAGTGTCTGATAACGAATTTCCCTACGAACCATTATCACTCAATTCTGCAAGTGGTTCCGATTTACATGTACTAAAATGTATGTGAAATGGCTTGAAGCAGCAATGTTTTACTATGTAATATTCGTTCACAAAAAAAAATGACATTTTTTAAAATTTTTTAATTTGCCGCCGGTTCCGGCGCCCGTATGTCCCGACGTCACAGGGACCAGAACACAGAAGCCGCATGCCAGCATCGGCCGGAGGAGATGGCCGGGGACGCTGCAGGGGATGCATCGCGGGAGCGAAGGACAAGGTAAGCGCTGCAGGGAATCCCTGAGCAACGCCGCATGGTAAGCCCGAGTGTAGCTCGGGGTTACCGCTTTTGGTACTGAAATTTTACCCCGAGCTACACTCGGGAATACCGCCAGGGGGGTTAAAGGGGACTTTCTTTGTTTTCATAACTTTTTGTTTTTGGATACAAATTTTATAAATTGTTTTCATTTTGGTGGTTTTGGACATTTATTTTATAACCACAGAATTTATTATGATTTGTGTATAATTATTTTTGATTCATTTCATATTTTGCGCTGTTTTATTGTTTCACTGATTTTTTTTATTTTTATTCACCTTTTTGATTCTTATTAAGGCACAGCAGCATTCACTTTCAACTTTTTCACATAGTTCTTGTGGCGCAGGTTGTTTTTGTTTTAGTTCTTTTAAGACTTAAAAAGGGGTAGACTGACAACTCATGGGGCCCCCAGGCAATAGGGGATCATGGGGCCCCCGGGCAATAGGAGATCATGGGGCCCCCGGGCAATAGGAGATCATGGGGCCACTGTGTCCTTGCCCAAACTCAAAAAAGCCTATGAAAAGGTACCAGGGGCATCTCATGGGGCCCCCTACTGACCCCGGGCCCTTGGGCAGTGCCTGAGTTTCGAAATGGTCAGTCCGCCCCTGGACTTAAAGCTTGCTTCTAGCCCAGTTCACACCACATGCAGTCCAGTGCGGTTTTTTTTCTGGATCAAAAACGCATTGATAGTAGGTTACATGGTTTCCAATGGCATAGTTCACACCAGTGCGTTCCAGTTCCAGAAAAAAAAAAAAAAAAACGAACATGTTGCATTTTTTCTGCACAGAAATATACTGGAACGCAGTAAAATGCAGCAAAAATGCACCGGATTGTACCTAAACACACCAAAAACACTGAAACGCACATGTCCTTATTTAAGTTGAGGAAAAAATTTAACCAGAACACATCAAAAATGCACCTGAACGCATCATCAAAAATGTACATACAGAAACGTATCCGAAACTCATCTGGACAGCATTTCTATGGTATGAAGGGTATTTGTAAGAACACAAACCAGAATAATCTTCCTCTTTACCTTCTGCTATCCTTGGAGACTGGGACGGAGAAGAGGACGCTGCAGACCGCCGTGGCGTTGAATGTGCAGAGCCCATTCCACCACTCTGAAAAAGAGTTTCCCCAGGAGCCTGAGAAGCTCCAAACAGGTCGTTGAGAAGGTCTGAGTTGGAAGGTGGTGCCTTGGGTTGTGACGGAGGAGCAGCAGCCACCGAACTTCCTTCGAGACACAACAGGTCAACATCTTCTTGGGGAGGCTGGAGAGCCTGTGGAGCTGGGGGTTCTGTGCTTTTGTGCTTTGGGGTCCCATGATGTTTTTCTCCACTGGTGTTGCTGTGTTGGCTTGAAAGAGATAAGAGTTCGTCGTCTGATGGCTCACTTTCATCGTGTACTAGCACGGCTCGATCTTCGGATACCGGATGAGAACTGGACTTGTCTGACTTCTGGTCTGAGGGAACAAAGCAAATGTAAATATACAGTTGTGTTCAAAATAATAGCAGTGTGTTGAAAAAAGTGAATAAAGGTCAAAATCCTTCTAATAGCTTTTATTTCCATCCACACAAATGCATTGGGAACACGACACATTCTATTCCAAATCAAAACAGGAAGAAAAATACATCAAATTTGTGTTGTTCCTCTAAAAAAATTGAAGAAAAGAAAATATTAGACGGTTCAAAAAAAACAGCAGTGTTTGTATTCTTCTTTACAAACTCAAACATTCACTATATAAACTGAGAAATGTTTGAAGATTTTGCTTTCCTTTGAATGACTTCATGAATATTTGGTTGTAGTCGCACTGTTTCTGAGAACTGCTGTACATCTGTGTTGTATGGAGTCACCCAACTTCTGGCCCCTGTGATCAGGTATTCCAGCCCAGGATGATTGGACCACATTCCACAGTTCTTCTCTATTTCTTGGTTTTGCCTCAGAAACTGCATTTTTGATGTCACCCCACAAGTTTTCTATTGGATTAAGATCCGGGGATTGGGCTGGCCACTCCATAACGTCCATCTTGTTGGTCTGGAACCAAGATGTTGCACATTTACTGGTGTGTTTGGGGTCGTTGTCTTGTTGGAACACCCATTTCAAGGGCATTTCCTCTTCAGCATAAGGCAGCATGACCTCTTCAAGTATTCTGATGTATTCAAACTGATCCATGATCCCTGGTATGCGATAAATAGGCCCAACACCGTAGTATGAGAAACATCCCCATATCATGATGCTTGCACCACCATGCTTCACTGTCTTCACAGTGTACTGTGCCTTGAATTCAGTGTTTGGGGGTCGTCTGACAAACTGTCTTTGCCCACTAGACCCAAAAAGAACAATCTTACTTTCATCAGTCCACAAAATGTTGCGCCATTTCTCTTTAGGCCAGTCAATGTGCTCTTTGGCAAATTGTAACCCCTTCAGCACATGTCTTTTTTCCAACAGTGGGACTTTGCGGGGGCTTCTTGCAGATAGCTTGGCTTCACAAAGGGTCTTCTAATTGCAACAGTCCTCACAGGGAACGTCACACCTTCTTTCATCTTCCTGGAGCTGATTGTTGGCTGAGTCCGCGCCATTTTGGCTATTCTTCTATCCATTCCAGTGGTAGTTTTTCTCTTTATTCCACGTCTTTCAGGTTTTGGTTGCCATTTTAAAGCATTTGCGATCATTTTAGCTGAGCAGCCGATCATTTTCTGCACTTCTTTATATGTTTTCCCCTCCAATCAACTTTTTAATCAAGGTACGCTGTTCTTCTGAACAATGTCTGGAACGACCCATTTTCCTCAGAATTTCAGAGAGAAATGCACTGTAACCAGCATGTACAACATTTGCTGCCTTCCTTCTTTAAATAAGGGCAATAACTGCCACCTGTTTTTCAAAGAATGAATGACCTCACTAATAGAACTCCACACTGCTATTATTTTGAACATGCCCCTTTCAATGAGTGATTCAATGACACAGAATCAGCAGCATGCATGTCATGACTGTTGGGTCTGTTGGATTTCTATTACTCTACTACACCTGCTAGGAAATTATTTGCCATGTAGAAATATCATTTCTACCAAAAACAGTGATTGATCCGGTTAGTGATGTCTGACTGCTATTAATTTGAACAAAACTGTATACAGTAAAATGAAGTAAAGCAAGCCTGTTGGTTTGCCATTAATGGAGAAACAAAAATTGTTTGTTGGCAGATTTTGTGGAGGTAAGGCATCAGTTACATCGGATACGACTTTGAAAGTCAATTTCAAAGTCGGATGTCAGTGCGATTTCAGGTGCGACTTGGAAGACATCTGTGTGACTTCATGCACAGATGTCTATGTACGTTGCACCTGAACCTGCAAAACGTAGTGCATGAACTACTTTCGAAATCAGTGCGACGATGACGAAGTTGGAGTCGCAAAGATTTGACGGCTTCCCTTGCGGGCAATAGGATGTGACTTGTCATGCAATTTGAAATGATCAAATCGCACAACAATTTGCACTGGTGTGACTGAGGACTAACACACTTTTCCAGGAGAGATGGAGAGGGATGCGTCTCTCCATGGTGTCATTCAGCTGCCTACTTTAGCGTCTCTTAGCTCCCAACTGTCCCTCTTTTGGAACTTCTTCCTTTCTGCCTAGTCATCCCTCTTCTTGGTCGAATGCAATCGTCTCTAAAGTTTCTAAACAAAGGGTCAATTTGCTGTCCTTCAGACATTAAGGGGTGCGGATTGTGGTCCCCCCCCGGAAGTAGAAAATGCCACAGCGTCAGTGGGAGTATAAAATTCCTCTGACTTGGTAGTCAGTGGGAATAAAAAAAAAAAAAAAAAAAAAAAAAGACATAGCACCTCTGGTCAGTAGGAGCAGGAACAGTGCCTCATTATTGGTATCAGTGGGAGGAATAGTGCCCCATCATTGGTGTCAGTGGGAGGAATAGTGCCCCATCATCGATATCAGTGGGAGGAATAGTGCCCCATCATTGGTGTCAGTGGGAGGAATAGTGCCCCATCATTGGTGTCAGTGGGAGGAATAGTGCCCCATCATCGATATCAGTGGGAGGAATAGTGCCCCATCATTGGTGTCAGTGGGAGGAATATTGCCCCATCATCGATATCAGTGGGAGGAATAGTGCCCCATCATTGGTGTCAGTGGGGGGAATAGTGCCCCATCGCTGGTGTGAGTGAGAGGAATAGTGCCCCATTGTTGGTGTCAGTGGAAGGAATAGTGCCTCCATCATTGGTATCAGTGGGAGGAATAGTGCCCCATCATTGGTATCAGTGGGATGAATAGTGCCCCATCATTGGTGTCAGTGGGATGAATAGTGTCCCATCATTGGTGTCAGTGGGAGGAATAGTGCCCCATCATTGGTATCAGTGGGAGGAATAGTGCCCCATCATTGGTATCAGTGGGAGGAATAGTGCCCCATCATTGGTATCAGTGGGAGGAATAGTGCCCCATCATTGGTGTCAGTGGGAGGAATAGTGCCCCATCATTGGTATCAGTGGGAGGAATAGTGCCCCATCATTGGTATCAGTGGGAGGAATAGTGCCCCATCATTGGTATCAGTGGGAGGAATAGTGCCCCATCATTGGTATCAGTGGGAGGAATAGGGCCCCATTGCTGGTGTCAGTGGGAGGAATGGTGTCCCAAGGGCCAGATAAAGGCAAGCAAAAGTCTTCTGAAGACGCCCAGTAGGAGGGGCAAAACACGTCAGTTAACGAGAGCTGTGGTGAGGTCACTTCCGGTCAGCAGAGTGCAGGGTGGTGCACCGTTTCTGGGTTTACAGTTATATGCTTTGCATTAATTTTTAACATTTGCGTACAATGTATATATTTTTTCCTGATAATTTTAATAAAGGTAATTATGCTATTTGGTCCCACTCTTCACTTCCTATGAGTACCTACATCTTATGACAGCTGAATTCGATCATCTCCACAAATAAGGAACCCATCCACATCGACGAGAACTACAAGTCGGGCAGCACAGTGGCTAAATGGTTAGCACTTCCGCCTGGCAGTACTAGGGTCTGAATCCCAACCAGGGCATCACCTGCCTGGAGTTTGCATGTTCTCCCTGTGCCTGCGTGGGTTTCCTCCAGGTACTCCGGTTTCCTTCCACACTCCAAAGACATGCTGGTAGGTGAATTGGCTCCTGTCTGAGTTGTCCCTAGTATGTGTATGTATGAATGTGAGTTAGGGACCTTAGATTGTACACCCCTTGAGGGTTAGGGACTGATGTGAATGTACAATATATATGTAAAGAGCTGCGTAAATTGACAGCACAACTACGCTGTTGCTTAGTTCTGATTATTAATGTGGAATGTATGTTCCTTGTTAAAGAACATTTTTTTTTTTTAATCAAGTAGTTATGGATAAAGGAACATTTTAAAATTCTTTTACATAAACGTATTGAAGTGTACATGTTACCAAGCTAAAAAGGCCACTTTATGGGCTCCATGAATGTCAGGATATTTCTGTAGAAAGTAAAAACTTCATACAGCCACAAGACCTTTAATATTGTCATAAGTGGCTGCTGAATGAATGGGTTTTATGAGCAATGGAATTGGCCACACATTGGCTACTGTTAATAAACAGGCATTCTGCAGACATTTCTAAAAAGCATACCTTGCCAGTTCAAGGAAGAGAAAAATGCCCCCTGCCCGGCGTTCTTAAAGTTGTCATGCTGTTGTTCCACTGGAGCTCTGCCTATTGAACACAAATACGGGTAAGTAAAGACGAATATAACAACAAATTGGAGCTTGGGCAATGCTCATATCATCAAATCGGCATCATTTTCCTATCAGAAGACAAAAAAAAAAAAAAAGGCCTAGCAAAATATTACATGATCAAGGTAAGCTTGCACCTTGCTAGTGCCAAGAAAATCTCCCCCGCACCATGACACCACCACCACCAGCCTGAACCATTGATACAAGGCAGGGTGGATCCTCCACATGGCACCACCACCACCAGCCTGAACCGTTGATACAAGGCAGGATGGATCCACCACACCATGACACCACCACCACCAACCTGAACCATGGATACAAGGCAGGATGGATCCACCACACCATGACACCACCAGCCTGAACCATTGATACAAGGCAGGATGGATCCACCACACCATGACACCACCAGCCTGAACCATGGATACAAGGCTGGATGGATCCACCACACCATGACATCACCACCACCAGCCTGAACCGTTGATACAAGGCAGGATGGATCCATCACACCATGACACCACCACCGCCAGCCTGAACCGTTGATACAAGGCAGGATGGATCCATTACACCATGACACCACCACCACCACCAGCCTGAACCATGGATACAAGGCAGGATGGATCCACCACACCATGACACCACCAGCCTGAACCATGGATACAAGGCTGGATGGATCCACCACACCATGACATCACCACCACCAGCCTGAACCGTTGATACAAGGCAGGATGGATCCATCACACCATGACACCACCACCGCCAGCCTGAACCGTTGATACAAGGCAGGATGGATCCACCACACCATGACACCACCACCACCAGCCTGAACCATTGATACAAGGCAGGATAAATCCCCCACACCATGACACCACCACCAGCCTAAACCGTTGATACAAGGCAGGATGGATCCACCACACCATGACACCACCACCAGCCTGAACCGTTGATACAAGGCAGGATAAATCCCCCACACCATGACACCACCACCAGCCTGAACCGTTGATACAAGGCAGGATGGATGCACCACACCATGACACCACCACTGCCAGCCTGAACCATTGATACAAGGCAGGATAGATCCTACCACACCATGACACCACAAGCCTGAACCGTTGATACAAGACAGGATGGATCCACCACAGCATGACACCACCACCACCAGCCTGAACCATTGATACATGGCAGGATGGATCCATGCTTTCATGTTGTTTATGCCAAATGCTGACCCGACCATCTGAATGTCACAGCAACCAGTCTGCCCATTCTCCTCTGACATCAACAACGCGTTTTCCTCCACACAACTGCCGCTCACTGGATATTTTCTCTTTTTTGGACCATTCTCTTTAAACCCATCTGGCACTAACATCCATGCCACGTTCAAAGTCACCATTCTGATGCTCGGTTTGAATTCCAGAAAGTTGTCATCACCATGTCTAGATGCCTAAATGCATTGAGTTGCTGCCATGTGATTGGCTGATTAGCAATTTGTGTTACCAAGAAATTGAACAGGTGAACCTAATAAAGTGGCCGGTGAGTGTAGGTTGGACTGGATGGACTTGTGTCGTTTCCTAACTTTACCTTCTTATGTTACAAGCGCCATTATGTCACCAAAGTGTTCAGGTTAATGTCTATGGAGTGGGGAGGAGACCAACCAGAAGCCCTTTGTTTGGCCTTATTTTGAAGGAAGAAAAAGCAAATGAGTCGAAAGATTGCAAAAAAAAAATGCTAATTGTCATTTCTCCTGAGAATGTCCACTGCTGACCAAATCGACTGGCAATGTCTTTGTCTAACCCCTTGATGCCGACGTAACACACATATGTGGCCTCACACAACTGGGCTTTTTGCCATGGGGGCCGCATATTTGCATACCTGTCTTTGTGCTGGGAGTGTGCCGCACTGCGTGCTCCCAGCACAAGGAACGGGGTGTCACTAAGAGCCCCGGGTCCCTTTCTAAGGATACGTTCACACTAGCCTTGTTAGCAAGCGGCAGACAGGCATTTGGGAAGCGTTTTTACCATTTCCGAAACGCCTGGGAAAATTCTGCACATTGCAGCACATAGTGCTGTTCAAACGGGAGCGTTAGCGTCGTGGCAAAATGGACGCCTCTGGTCGAGTCAGGAGGAGTTAAAGCCTCCTACTCAAAACTATGGTGCCGCTCCACAAACGCCCGGCCGGCGTTTGCGTTGCGGTTGCGACGCGTTTGCGAAGCAGTAACACCATTCAAACTTCATTATAGGCGTTTGTGGGGCGTTTTTAACACTTGGCAAATGCCTAGCAACCGCCGCTAAACTGCGCATGCGGAGCGTTAAAAACGCTACACAAACGCCGGACCAACGCTTGCCAAACGCTATAGGGGCGTTTGGCAAGAGTTGGAAAAACAGTCAAGTGTGAACGAGCCCCTAACTCATTGTACAGCCTGGCCCCCTTGTTTTTTTTTTTTTTTCCTCTCTCATTGTATCTCTCTACCACCTGACATAGAGAGGGAAAAAAAAGTTTGTAAAAAAAAAAAAAAGATAAAAAAAAAAAAAAAATAAAGAAAAATAACTAGATCAAGGTTTGATTTAATTCAGTGCAAAGGTTTTTTGGGGCAAGGTCAAAAGGTCAGGGTCAAAGGTCAGGATTTTTTTTTTTTTTTAAATTGGTAATAGTGTCAGTGTGTTTTAGGTAAAAAAAAAAACAAAAAAAAAAACTAAAATGTGCACTGTTGTTTCTGGGCTGTATTACGGGTACAAACAACAAGTAATATACACATATATGGTATCTCTGCGATCGTCAAGAGCTGGAAAAGCTATTTTGGGTTGTTCTTTGGTGTTATGGTTATGGTAGTAACGAGAAACACACAGCTAAAATTAAAAAAATGATTTTTTTTTTTACTATTCTGGGCCAGTTTTCCTTTGATATTAAAACAAAAACAGGAGATATCCATTACTATTTATCACCAAATGAAAGCCCAATTTGTCCTAAAAAAAAATGCGGTATAATTCACCTGGATGTACACAAAGTAGTTGTGATGATATGTACGGTTTTACTAACACTTGTCAACTTTGCAAAATTGTGCTTAGGCATTAAGATTTGTTTTACCCTTAGTGTGAAGAGTTTAGCCACTTCCAGTCCGACACTTTCACCCCCCCTTCCAGTCCAGGCCAATTTTCAGCTTTCAGCGCTATCACATTTTGAATGACGATTGCGCATTCATGCAACACTGTACCCATATGAATTTTTTAGCATTTTTTTGAGACAGATAAAACTTTATTTTGGTGGTATTTATTCACCACTGGGATTTTTATTTTTTTTTGCTACATAAATGAAAATCTGCAAAATTTGGAAAAAAAGTGTTTTTGTATAAAAGTTTGCAAATAAATAATCTTTCTTCATAAATTCTGGCCAAATGTATTCAAATATCATTTTAGTAAAAAAAAAAAAAAAAAAAAACCAGATTAATTTATAACCAAAAATTATAATTTTTCCTAATTTTTTTTTTACATTTTTATTTTTTTTTTTATATTATTATTATTAATGTTTTTTGTTTTTTTACATACTGTCACCCTAGCAGTACAGTGTCACCATAGTGACACTGTACTACTTGTGGGGGGTGACGAAGATTTTTTTTTTTTTTTTTTTTTTACAATGATTGCTTTTACACCCATAAAAGGCTGTAAAAGCAATCATAGCTCCTTCTCTCTGGCTGCATTCCTGCAGCCATTGAGAAATACTGTGTGAGCTGTGATTGGTCACAGCTTGTCACATGGTACAAGGCTGTTGTGAATAGCCTTGTACCATGTGACCTCTGTGATCATTCACAGATTTCACACGTAGTAAGCAATCATGTCAGAAGTGATAAATTGCTTACTACTCTTCATGTGACCACTGATTGGCCAATCATGTGATCACATGATCGGGATCGCACAGAGGTCCCGTACAACGATCAGTCCCATACAACACGGTGTTGTGCGCTCCCAGGGAGCGGGGAGGACGTTTATAAATGACCACCTGCCCCTGTACTGCTCCCGTCCGCCCGTTTATATACATGGGACAGACGGGAAGTGGTTCATCTATCTAACATACACAATGAAAGATGCAGGCCCTGTCACCTAAACATGGCTACGGCAATACTGGGAGAGAAGAGCTTTCCGAGTGTTTTTTGCATTTCCCGGACATTGATCAGAGGACTCCAAGCTCCCCCCATCATTTGCTCCTCAGGGTTGTAGGCTGAGGGTCTCGGAAACCTGAAAGAGGCCTCTTAGCGACTTAGCCCCCCCCCATCGCCGTCTCTTACCCCCCACCGACTGGGCGTCCTGCTGTTCCTGATGTGAAGAGAAGAGGATGCTGGGGTTAATGTCCTTCGCTACAAAATTTTCCCAGGGAGGGGTGAGGTCTGTCTGTCTGTCCGCGGACTCGATCTCAATGTCAAGTGTGATGTGGAACAGCTGAGGATACTTGTCTGGAGAATCACAAGCGTCAAGTTCAGGCCTACGGAATGAAATAAAAAAACACAAAAAAACAAACAATCTTGAGTCATGCAGGTTTACCGGATTTAAAACGGTTTATCAATGCAGACATAAAACAGACAGTTTGTAAATGTTTTCATACAATGTTCCCACATCTTTCACCTAGGATTCACACAGGATTCAAACTGAATCAAGTCAGACAAATGTGTAAATATTAGGCGATAGTTGTGTGAAAACATTTATATATAGACCTCTCAGCAGCCACCATGAAGAATCCCTGCAATGTGTATTTCCTATGATCGTCAGCTCCCTCTAGTGGCCATATTTAGTATTTTCCTAGCTACAGTAATGCTGGATATTCCTGCATTATAGTGGAACATAACTCTCTCAATCTCTGCCTGTATGCCTGAGCTAAGGGCAAATGGATTCCAGGAAGTCGTTGCTACATGAATCATTTGCCCTTACTCAAGATGGCCATTGCCAGAAACACTGAGGGGGGGTGTATTGCTGGATAATACCGCGTTATAGTGAAACTTCACTCTCTCAATCAACATTCACTATTTTGAATCCTTGCTAGCATTAGTAAATAAATAAGTAGATACGATATACTTTCCTGTTTTAATCTATTTTTTTTTTACATTTCTTTAGTTACTTCCTGGTTTCAATGCCTAGGCAAAAGATGTCATACATCCCAGGAGTCTTCAGGAAGGGAGGAGGAGTTTTCTCAGCTAAACACAGCCTCCTGCCTGTATGCCTGAGCTAAGGGCAGATGGATTCCAGAAAGTCACTGCTACATGAATCACATGCCCTTACTCAAGATGGCCATGGCCAGAACTAGTAGGGGGGTGTATTGCTGGATAATACAGAATTATTATTTGCAGTAGCTGTGCTGTCTGTCACTTCCCTGTCAGCTTGAGGATGAGCTGATCGAGAAAGAAGAGTTTCTCTTTCTCGATCAGCCTTGTCCTGCCCAGTACACACCCCGCCCCCTAGTAAAACACTCCCCTCACTCCTATAACCCTTCCCTGAAAAATAAAGTTAACCCCTTCCTCCCCATTGCCATTAGTACAGTGTCAGTGTTTTTTTTTTTTGCACTGATCACTGTATTAGTGTTTTTGGGGATGTCAGTGACCCCAAGTCAGTACCCCCCCAATGTCAGAATGTCCGCCATAAGTCGCTGGTTGCTGCCATAAGTCCCTGATCGCCGCCATAATTCGCTGATCGCCGCCATTATTAGTATAAAAAAAAACCTAAAAATCCCAGTATCTTTCCCGCCATTTGTAAACGCTATAACTTTCACATAAACCAATTAATTTACACGTATTGGTTTTTTTTTTAGCAAAGACATGTCGCAGAATGCATTTTGGCAGAAATTTATGACTAAATTTGATTTTTGCATTTTTTTTTTACTGGACATGTTTTATAGCAAAAAGTCCAGAATATTGTTTTTTTTTTTCCTCAAAATTGTCAGCCTTTTTTTTAGAGCGCAAAAAATAAAAACCGCACAGGAGATCAAATACCACCGAAAGAAAGCTCAATTTGTGGGGAAAAAAAGGATGTAAATTTCATTTATGTACCGTATTGCATGACTGCGCAATTGTCCGTTAAACTAGCGCAGCGCTGTATAGCAGAAAAGTGGCGTAAATTGCAGTATTTATACGATAGTTTGTAGACGCTATAACTTCCACACAAAGCAATCAATATACACTTATTGGGATTTTTTTTTACCAAAAACATGGAGCAGAATACATTTTGGCCTAAATTTATAACCAACTTTGAGTTTACTATATATTTTTTATAGCTGAAAGTAAAAAATATTGTTTTTCTTCAAACTTTTGGCCTTTTTATGTTTATAGCGTGAAAAATAAAAAGCGCACAGGTGATCAAATACCACCGAAAGAAAGCTCTATTTGTGTGAAAAAAAGGACGTAAATTTCGTTTGGGTGCAGCATTGCATGACCGCGCAATTATCAGTTGAATTAGTGCAGCGCCGAGTAGCAAAAAGAGGCCTGGTCATTAAGGGGGGTAAATCCTCAGGAGCTCAAGTGGTTAAAGTAACGCAGCGCCGTAATGCAAAAAAAATGACCTGGTCAGGAAGGGGTGGGGAATCCTCTGGAGGGCGAGTGGTTAAATGCTTCATAAACAGTTCAACTAAAAAACAGAGTAATCTGGACATACACAGTAAGATACGAAGCCGAAAAGTTCATGTATACTTACTTTGTAAATTTTAACATTGTTGTTCCGAGTGCTATGAAACCCGTGTGAAACTGTAGCTGTAGTATCTGAGTATTTGTCATCTAAAATCAAAAAAGAGACAATAAAAGATGATGCAAAAAAAAAAAAAAAAAAAAAAAACCTTGACCAGAGATAACTAAGAACAGACTAGGTTTCTCAACAAGAACAAATGGTGACCTCCCATGTACAGATCTAAATTGGCCAAACAATGATCGATATTTGCTTGGGAAAGTGGATATAGGGAGTTGGAATCAGGGGCGGACTGACAACTCATGGGGCCCCCCGAGCAATAGGGGATCATGGGGCCCCTGTGTCCTTGCCCAAACTCAAAATAGCCTATGAAAAAGGTACCAGGGGCATCTGATGGGGCCCCCTACTGACCCCGGGCCCTCGGGCAGTGCCCGAGTTTCCAAATGGTCAGTCTGCCCCTGGTTGGAATCCGGAGGTTACTTTATACATTTATTTTATATTATCATCCAGTAGTATGTAATGAAATAAAGTAGAGGAGCTGGACTTGGCTTTCTTCAGATACAGGTTGTTAGAAGTTATCAAATGGGTCACAAAATACAAACTGAGGACGACAGGCAAGTGGGACACATCCAACTTCAGATGTTCAGCTAAACCAAAGAAACCCAAAATCAAATGATTAGTTAAATTATTTATTATTATTATTATCCAGTATTTATATAGCGCCAACAGTTTGCTCAGCACTGGCTATCCCCGCTTCAGTCCATCCTGAATACGGCTGCCAGACTCATTCACCTTTCCAACCGCTCCATCTCCGCCACCCCCCTCTGCCAATCCCTCCACTGGCTTCCGATTGCGCAACGGATAAAATTCAAAATCCTAACACTGATGTACAAAGCTGTCCACCATACTTCCCCGAACTACATCACTGACCTAATATCCAAGTACCCGCCCAACACGCACACTCCGCTCCTCACAAGACCTCCTTCTCTCTAGTTCCCTGGTCTCCTCCTCCCATGCCCGCCTCCAGGACTTCTCCAGGATGTCACCCATCCTCTGGAACTCCCTGCCCCAACCCATCAGATTATCACCTACTCTCTCTCTCCTTTAGGCGCACCCTGAAAACCCATCTCTTCAGGGAAGCCTACCCCACCCCTTGCTAACCTGCCGACCTCCTCCACTCTTCCTACCACTCCATCCCCCACAGCTATCTCCTCCTGTGCCACCATCCCCCCTCCTAGATTGTAAGCTCCAAGGAGCAGGGCCCTCGATCCCCTCATGTTTTGCATTGTATTGGTATTGTTCTGTCACATGTTCTGTCTCCCTTTGTAATGTACAGCGCTGAGCGAACTATTGGCGCTTTATAAATACTGTATAATAATAATGGGAGACAGTACAATAATAATACAGTGTAATACATGAGGGGATCGAGGGCCCTGCTCCTTGGAGCTTACAATCTAGGAGGGAGGGGATGGTGGTACAGGAGGAGATAGCTGTGGGGGATGGAGTGGTAGGAAGAGTGGAGGAGTTCAGTAATTAGCTGAGGGCGGGGTAGGCTTCCCTGAAGAGATGGGTTTTCAGGGTGCGCCTAAAGGAGAGGAGAGTAGGTGATAGTCTGATGGATTGGGGTAGGGAGTTCCAGAGGATGGGGGAAGCCTTGGAGAAGTCCTGGAGACGGGCATGGGAGGAGGAGACCAGGGAACTAGAGAGTCTTGTGAGGAGCGGAGAGTACGTGTTGGGTGGTATTTGGATATCAGGTCGGTGATGTAACTTGGGGCAGTATGATGGACGGCTTTGTACATCAATGTTAGCATTTTGAATTTTATGCTTTGGGCAATCGGAAGCCAGTGGAGGGATTGGCAGAGGGGGGTGGCGGATATGGAGCGGTTAGTAAGATGGATGAGTCTGACCGCAGTATTCAGGATAGACTGAAGAGGGGATAGCCTGTGATGAGGTCGGCCGGTGAGGAGGGAGTTACAGTAGTCAAGTTGTAAATATATAAGATATAATAATCCATATATCCTTTATTCTTCACAATGAAGTCACAACCAATGGAAAGTCAGTAGTCAACGCATTTCGGCAGTCAAGGAATCCCCCTTTTATCAGGGCTCGGCTTTGAGATACGTTGATATACTTTGACGGGGCAATATCTGGCATTTCATTTACACATTTTTCCCTGACATATGCACAAGATATACCTAGACAGGGTAAAATCTGAATGTTGGTATAATAGATACATTATATCATGGTATAATAGATTGAACATTGGTTTACAGTAAAGGGTAAGTTCACCTTTTGCTAAAAAATAATAAATGCTCATATTTCTGCAGGTAAAAAAAAAAATTAGCATTTATTATTGTTTTGTTGCAGGGGCCTGTAAACTATTGCAGATCACTGGTGCCATGCAGGTCTCCTGCAGACCTGTCAGTATATCTTCTTGCCCGTACAGGATGTACAGGCAAGCAGATATACTGACTGGAAGAATCAATGAACTATCACAGCGCTCCACAGCACCGTAGTCATTTATTGAGAATCACAAGCCGACAGCCGCTAAGGCTGGCCATACATTATACAATTTTCTTGAGATTTTTGGTTTAGATTTACAACAAACATCATGTAATAGGAGGTCAAACCTAAACAACACTTTCAATTGTATCCAATTAGGCCGGCCATTGCACTACATAGTTGAGGGTAAATCTAAAGGAATTTGGACAGAAAATTGTATAGTGTATGACCAGCCTTAGGCTGCTGGGACTTGTAGTTTCTCATTCACAGAACACAGTGCTCCACCCGCCCGGATGCGTTTCGTTTTTTTTTTTCAATTTTGCAGGCTAACGGGGAGAGAAGATCCCCCGCTAGCTGTCAAAGCGGTAGAGAGGGGGTTGGTCTATTCATAACATGTTACACCCTGAATATGGGTGTAACATGTAATATGTTATGAAAGGTGAACTCATCCATAACACATTTGACTTTAATTTACCTTGATGGGGTAATATCTGGCATTTCCTTTGCACATTATGCACGGAATATATCTTATATAAAACAAATATCCGCGCTGACTGCCAATATAAAGCAGCTGGCACAATTAGGTAGTATACAAACCCAATAAAACTAGAATAAACAAGATGTGGAATGCTTAAATGACCGACGAAAGTGAAAAAACAATGAAAATGGAAATAATATCAAATGTCTGTAAATGCAATTCGGTATAACTTTAAATAAAAGTGCTCAATAAGTGTTCATCCACCCCCCTCAAAAGGTGTCCTTGATTGCCGACAACTCAATGTGGGGTCAGCACTGTAACTCCTCCCTGACGTGTTTCGTCCAATAGGACGCTCTCAAGGGGTGAACATCCTATTGGATATTTACAGTGCTGATGCCACGCCACTACACAATTCCGGGTCGGCAGCGGCCACAAATGTAAGCCGGCTTATTTATGCTTTACTTTATCTGTGCACTTATGGTTCTACTAATAAATATAGGCGTACCTCAGTTTACGAATTTAAAGCGTTCTCCGGGACGTTTTGTATTGTGAAAAATTCGTAAACCAAAACGCGGTTTCCCTTAGGAATGCATTGAAAACCAATTAATCCGTTCCAGAGGTCAGAAAAAAAGTAAAAAAAAAAAGTCTTATCTGTTCAAAACTCTTTATAAAGTGCTCTTTAAAGGCATAAGTACTGTACAGGGACATCTTAAAAAATTTTTTGTAAATGCATTGAAAATCAATTAATCCATTCCGGAGGTCAGAAAAAATTAAAAAAAAAAAAAAGGTATTTTATCTGTTCAAAACTCTTTATAAAGTGCACTTTAAAGGCACCACCCTTTTGAGGGTGGTGGATGAACACTTATTGAGCACTGAATTGCATTAAGGTACATGATTAAAAATGAATTTGTAAATGCATTGAAAACCAATTAATCCGTTCCGGAGGTCAGAAAAAAGTTTTAAAAAAAAAGTTTTATCTGTTCAAAACTCTTTATAAGGTGCACTTTAAAGGCATAAATACTGTACAGGGACATGATTAAAATTTAATGTGTAAATGCATTGAAAGCCAATTAATCCGTTCCGGAGGTCATAAAAAAGTTTAAAAAAAAAAGTATTTTATTTGTTCAAAACGCTTTATAAAGTGCACTTTAAAGGCATAAATACTGCACAGGGACATGATTAAAATTTAATTCATAAATGCATTGAAAGCCAATTAATCCGTTCCGGAGGTCAGAAAAAAGTAAAACAAAAGTCTTATCTGCTCAAAAGTCTTTATAAAGTGTACTTTAAAGGCATAAATACTGTACAGGGACATGATTAAAAAAAAGATTTGTAAATGCATTGAAAATCAATCTGTCCCGGAGGTCAGAAAAAAGTAAAAAAAAAAGTTTTATCTGTTCAAAACTCTTTATAAAGTGCACTTTAAAGACACGTGGCCGGCGCTATAAACCTCCCAGGCGCAATGCATCCTAGGGAAACTTACTTCGAATTGCGAAACAAATTTGTAAACCGACGCAATATTTTCAATGGATTTTCATTCGTAAACCGAAAATTACGCAAACCGAGGCGTTCGTATACCGAGGTACGCTTGTACTACACTATGGGAACTATTCTATGCTCTCGGTGAGCCGTATTTTGTTAAAGCCGGCACAAGAGAGGATGCTCTTCATACACCGATTGCTGCGACAAGCTGCATACGTGCTGGCAGGGTTTTACAGCCATTTGTGCTGCTGTAGTGGCAGCCGATACATCTGGTGAGTTTACAATTCACTGGGAGAAGGTGGTGGTATATATGCGACCACATTGAGTTGTCGGCGATCAAGTACACCTTTTGAGGGTGGTGGATGAACACTTATCGGTCTCCTCTCTGAGGACATGCGTGGCACGAAAAGCTTTAGGAGGAACCAACATGCCGTGACGTCACGCCGCCGAAGCCACGTGTAGGTCCGGCAGCCGATACATCTGGTGAGTTTACAATTCACTGGGAGACGCTGGTGGTATATATGCGACCACATTGAGTTGTCGGTGATCAAGTGCACCTTTTGAAGGTGGTGGATGAACACTTATTGGTCTCCCTCTGAGGACATGCGTGGCACGAAAAGCTTTAGGAGGAACCAACACACTGTGATGTCACGCCGCTGGAGCCACGTGTAGGTCCGGCGGCCATCTTTACTCTTGGTCAGTGCTGCCTTCACTCTGCAATACTGTTAACCCTTTTAACCTACAATTTCCATGGAATAAAGTATTTAATTTACTACACAATGGGCACTTCTTTTGTGGCTCCTTTATGCAGCTATTAAATTACAGAGCCTGCAGATGATCCTGACTTATCCTAGCACCCAGAGGAGGGAATCCCTGTAAACAGGCTGCAGACCCATCCTTCCTAAAGGGGACCTCTGGATGAGCAGATCTTAATTAATTCCAAGATTTTACTGCTGCGCTGTTTCATACCTAGAAGGAAGTTTACCAGACGCCTGACATACCCCGCTCCCCTAAGTGGTCCATGGTGGACATATTTATATGCGCATATTCAATGCGCATCTGGTGAGTGCGCTATTTTGCTATTACTTCCAAGCACTAGCATCTGAATTCTGCTGCAGTTGGGATCATTAATATCATCACTTAGTCGCCGTGGCCATTTTGTTGGTTGGAAACATGTGTTTTTCAACCTAAAATTTTGAGAGAGCAATGCTGGAAGCTGGATTTCCCTGTTTTATATGTAAGTTTCTATTAAAATTTGTCCCTTTTTATGGATCCTGCCTAAGAGCCTTTTATGCTTCTATGAGGAGTTGGGAGGAATACCCCTGGAAATGAAGGATTGAGAGATACGGATTTCCTATGTCAGCTCATGCTTGAAATTACTGGAAGAGGGTAATAGTACCTGGTATCACTTTTGGCTGGAGTTTAGAGGGTACTAGTACCTAGTATCACTATTCACTTGTGGTTGGAGTGATCACATTTTTCACGATTTGGGTTTTTTTTATTTTTATTCATTTAATTTTTTTATTTTTATTCATTTATTTTTTTTATTTATTTATTTGCTGATTTATTTGGATTGATATATATTTAATTTATTTTGCACATATTTTTGTGTGTTTTTGTGGTGTGCACAGAGTGAAGTATATATATATATATTTTTTAAGGGTAAAACACTATTAATTTTTTCTTTTCCTTTTTTTTGAGGTTATCATGGAGTACTTAGAATCAATTTCTGCTTTACTGGATTGAAAAAAAATTTTGGAACTTGGACACTTTGGGTTTATTATATACATTTTTTTATATATTTTTTTATATTTTATTTTATTTCAAATTTTTGTTGGGGTTTCTGTTTTTTAAGACGGAATTGTGTGTGGATTTATTTAAACACATTTTTTGAAGTGATATTGATTATATTAATAGTTGGAGTTATCTTTGGGGGATTTATATGTGTATCACAAAAAGGATTTATTAGATTATTATATATGAACTTTTAACTGTCACTTTTATTAGCGCTGCACTTCAGATTTACAGTTTTATTGAGGTTTTATATGGTTACCTTAGTGCTGCAGCTGCTTCCTATAGAGCGCTCACTTTGTTTTACCCTATACTTATTGAGCACCGAATTGCATTTACGGACTTTTGATTATTATTTCCATTTTCATCGTTTTTTTTTTTCACTTTCATCGGTCATTTAAGCGCTGCGCATATTGTTTATTACAGAATAAATCTTGAAAGGGTGAAACCTAAATTTTCATATCGGATTGGTCATTTAAATTGATTATTTTGGGTTTCACATTTCTGTATGCGCTGCACTTTTTAGGATATAATTGGAATAAACTTGTATTTGGCTTGAATATCTCGGTGGGATCCTTCAATTCTAGAGTCACTTAAAAATCCATTTTCAGCAGCTTTATCATATGGATTAAAACGTTTGTGCTAAATGCAGCGACTGGCTGTGCTAAGCTGATATTCTGCAATTTCATCCAGCCTCAGAAGATTGTGCAGTACTTTTAATTGAGCCTTTGATCGATATTCCGCTTAAAAGCTTAGTTTTGTTGGTTAAAAGACCAGAAAGTGGCGCATGACTACTTCTGATTGTACAAGAGATCCGAGGAAAATATTTGAGCCTAACTTTTTTTTTTTTTTGCCAAATTTTTTGATTGATATCCGATTGAAACCAACTGTGTATGTCGATAATAAAAACCAAATTGAACTGCAATTGTTCCACAATCAATGCAAATATTTGCCTAGACGACCTGAATCAGTTCAACGCAGACCAATTAACCGACTCAAACTATGAAAGAGACACCAAAAAGGGCAATTTCATTTTGCCTCTCAATTTTTCCAGACAGGGCAAATCTGTTCTAAAGGCAGGTTTTTTTTTTTACCCTAATGCAGTGGTGGGCAACCTTTTTTTTCAACTGAGCCAAATCTCGCCAAAACCACGATTGAAATTTATTTTGAGAGCCACATTTTTAAAACTGAAAATACATAGGATGGTACACTGTTTTTAGTTTCAATAAGTTTTTATAGTAATTCATCCCCCATAGTAATTCATCCCCCATATAGTAATTCATCCCCCATATAGTAATTCATCCCCCATAGTAATTCATCCCCCATAGTAATTCATCCCCCATATAGTAATTCATCCCCCATATAGTAATTCATCCCCCATATAGTAATTCATCCCCCATATAGTAATTCATCCCCCATATAGTAATTCATCCCCCATAGCAATTAATCCCCCATATAGTAATTCATCCCCCATAGTAATTCATCCCCCATAGTAATTAATCCCCCATATAGTAATTCATCCCCCATATTAATTCATCCCTCATATAGTATTTCATCCCCCATAGTACTATTCCCCCCCAAGTAGTAAGCCAAGTCCCCCCCGTGTCAATTCACTTACCTTTGCTCCGCGCGTTCCTCTCGCCGTATTCCCGCGCCGTTCCGGTCTTCAGGGCGGACTGTGAGAGGAGCCTAGCTCCTCTCATGTTCGTCACGCTGCCCCGTCTACACACATCCTGACAGCCAATCACTGGCTATCAGGATGTGAGTGGCAGCGAGACTGGCCAATCATTGCATTTGAGCGCGCTGCCCTGGCTGTTTTTTTTTTGGATCACGCTGCAGAGTCCCTGCCGCCCGAGAGGAGGGAGGGGAGCGGCGCCCAGCACACAAGAGCCGCATTAAAGCGTGTAAAGAGCCGCATGTGGCTCGCGAGCCGCGGCTTGCCGACCACTGCCCTAATGCATTCTCTGCATCTAGGTAAAAAAAAAAAATCCCCCTTTATAAATACCTGATCTTGATACAGTGCTGTGTCCAAGAGCAGAGGCCATCTCTGCTTTCTTCCTACTCATTGGCTCAGAGACAGCACTGGAAGCCATTGGCTCCTGCTGCTGTCAATAACAGCCAGTGAGGAGGGAGTGGGGCTGAGCTGCTCCCTGTGCCGGCTCGGAAACGAGCCCACATGTGTGCCCCCTTAGGAAGTGGCTTCCTATGGTGGGCACGCAGAAGGGAGAAGGAGACAGGAATGCCAGAGGAGGACCTGAAAAGAAGAGGATTAGGGGAAAACATGATTGCACAGGGAAGGTAAGTATGACATGTTTATTATTTTAAAGAAAACAAATATGTTTAGAATCACTTTGAACTATGGATCCTATCCTTATTGCTAACTTTACAAAAATCTTTCTCTGTTTCTTTAGGTAGCACAAATAATCAACTTTTCATTTTCCAGCTGATGAACTCAACAGAAAATCTGTATAGCAGCTTGACAATACCGAATTATGGTATTCATAGTACCTACCTTTGCTTGTAGTCGGCCACCAATTGTGGACCTCATATGATAAACAGAGACAACAACATCCCCGTGAACTGTGACACCTAGAGGAAACACGACTTTCCCTTCCTGAACCCGATATTCCCTAAACGGGGAAAACAATTGAATTAATAAACCAGGTTGGATGGGAAAGAAGATACCACTAGTTCAGACAAACGGTGACTTTTAATGTACTGCGGAACAGCATCTTTCTCCCCTCTACCTACACTGGGTACCCAAAAACATGACAATCCTGAGTAGTGTTACTAAAGCCCCTGCTCATCCTGTGGACCTTTGGCACCTACTGTGTGGCCCCTGGGGCCCTTACAGAGAGTTCTGTCTTCAGGTGCTTACTGAAGCCAGTGAAGAAAAATGTTCTTACTGGCTTTTAGTAGTTAAAAGGCTTTTAATGTTTTACACTATCTTACATTTTTTCTGTGCTGTCCACCTCTTTCTATATTTTTTTTTCCTCGTATTACAGAAATATCAAATTGTCCACCATCCCTTGTAGCATTGTCCACCATCCCTTGTAGCATTGTCCACCATCCCTTGTAGCATTGTCCACCATCCCTTGTAGCATTGTCCACCATCCCTTGTAGCATTGTCCACCATCCCTTGTAGCATTGTCCACCATCCCTTGCAGCATTGTCCACCATCCCTTGCAGCATTGTCCACCATCCCTTGCAGCATTGTCCACCATCCCTTGTAGCATTGTCCACCATCCCTTGTAGCATTGTCCACCATCCCTTGTAGCATTGTCCACCATCCCTTGTAGCATTGTCCACCATCCCTTGTAGCATTGTCCACCATCCCTTGTAGCATTGTCCACCATCCCTTGTAGCATTGTCCACCATCCCTTGTAGCATTGTCTACCATCCCTTGTAGCATGTCCAGTGTCTCTGTAGCATGTCTATAGTCTCTGGCCATCTCCTATTGCATATCTGCAGTCCTTGAAAGCTTTCTGTAACCTGTGATAGCCATGATCTCTAGCTGTCTCATGTAAAGTGTCTTTAGTATCTGACCATCTCTTGTAGCATGTCCACAGTCTCTGACCATCTCTTGTAGCATGCTCATAGTTTTCTGAACATCTCTTGTATCAGCCCACAGTCTAACCATCTCTTTCAGCATGCTCATAGTTTTTGACCATCTTTTGTAGCAGCCCCTCATTTTTTGATCATCTCTTGTAGCATGCTCATAGTTTCTGACCATCTCTTGTAGCATGCTCAAAGTTTCTGTCCATCTCTTGTATCAGCCCATAGTCTGACCATCTCTTGTAGCAGCCCATAGTCTCTAACCATCTATTGCAGCATGCTCATAGTTTCTGACCATCTCATGTAGCAGCCCATAGTCTCTAACCATCTCTTGTAGCAGCCCATAGTCTCTGACCATCTCATCAGAATGTCCATAGTTTTGTAGCAGCCCATGTAAAGTGTCTTTAGTCCTGACCATCCCTTTTTGCATTGTCCATGATCACTTAGTCTCTGCCCACATCTCTTGCAGAATGTCCATAGTTTCTGGTCATCTCCTATTGCATATCTGCAGTCTCTGACAGCTGTCTGTAACCTGTGATATCAGTGATCTGTAGCAGTCTCATGTAAAGTGTCTTTAGTCTCTGACCATCCCTTGTAGCATTGTCCACCATCACTTGAAGCATGCCCACAGTCTCTTTAGCATGTCCATAGTCACTGGTCATCTCCTACTGCCATATCTGCAGTCCCTGACAGCTTTCTGTAACCTGTGATAGCCATGATCTCTAGCAGTCATCTCATGTAAAGTGTATTTAGTCTCTGACCATCCCTTGTAGCATGTCCACAGTCTCTGGCCTATCTATTGTAGAAAGATCAAAGTCTCTGGCCATCTCTTGTAGCATGCTCACAGTCTCTGGCCATCTCTCTTGTAGCATGCTCACAGTCTCTGGCCATCTCTTGTAGCATGCTCACAGTCTCTGGCCATCTCTTGTAGCATGCTCACAGTCTCTGGCCATTTCTTGTAGCATGCTCACAGTCTCTGGCCATTTCTTGTAGCATGCTCACAGTCTCTGGCCATCTCTTGTAGCATGCTCACAGTCTCTGGCCATCTCTTGTAGCATGCTCATAGTCTGTGACCATCTCTTGTTGTATGCTCACAATCTCTGGCCATCTTGTAGCATGTCCATAGTTTCTGGCCATCTCTTGTAGCATGCTCACAGTCTCTGGCCATCTCTTGTAGCTCTCACAGTCTGTGCCCAGCATGCTCACAGTCTCTGGCCATCTCTTGTAGCATGTCCATAGTCTGGCCATCTCTGGCCACAGTCTCTGGCCATTTCTTGTAGCATGCTCACAGTCTCTGGCCATCTCTTGTAGCATGCTCACATAGACTGTGACCATCTCTTGTAGCATGCTCACAGTCTCTGGCCATTTCTTGTTAGCATGCTCACAGTCTCTGGCCATCTCTTGTAGCATGCTCACAGTCTCTGGCCATCTCTTGTCACATGTAGTATGCTCACAGTCTCTGCCCATCTCTTGTAGCATGCTCACAGTCTCTGCCCATCTCTTGTAGCATGCTCACAGTCTCTGCCATCTCTTGTAGCATGCTCACAGTCTCTGCCCATCTCTTGTAGTATGCTCACAGTCTCTGCCATCTCTTGTAGTATGCTCCCAGTCTCTGCCCATCTCTTGTAGCATGCTCACAGTCTCTGGCCCATCTCTTGTAGCATGCTCACAGTCTCTGGCCATCTCTTGTAGCATGCTCACAGTCTCTGGCCATCTCTTGTAGCATGCTCACAGTCTCCTGCCATCTCTTGTAGCATGTCCACAGTCTCTGGCCATCTCTTGTAGCATGCTCACAGTCTCTGGCCATCTCTTGTAGCATGTCCATAGTTTCTGGTCATCTCCTATTGCATATCTGCAGTCTCTGATGGCATTCTGTAACCTTACTTTCACCAAATATGAAGTGCAATCCTTTGGTGATGCAAGGGGATGCATATCAAGAACGTTGACCACTACTGTGCTAAGGGATAAAGTATATCTAAAGCCAAAGCTTATTTTTTAGGATTTGGGTAATGTGGTTACAACTGCTGTCAGGTTTCCATTATTATCGGTGCCCTGCTACCTGGAGCTCAGGCTTTGCTGGCGCACACCAATGTATACTGAATGACATCTGTATTTTCCTGCACCAGAAATATAATCTGTTGTGAACATGCCCTAAGCCTTGGCCATGGACACTCACTTCATCCTCTCGTAGTCCTGCATGGTGCTGAAGATACGAGTCTCCCCGATCAGGACCTCACAGAACGGCCGGCATCCATTCCGCTGTTTATTGAAGCAGGGCACGGGACTGATGGTGGCACTCCGAATGACAATAGGCTTGCAGTGGGGGTGTACCGGCTTGTCAGAAACTAAGTCGCAGATATGCCCTATGTACCTAGAAGAGAATAAAATACAAATATTAAAGCTGAACTCCAGCCTGCGACCCCACAGGGAGATTTTCCATGGCTTCCTGTCCTGACCCCATACAGTCTACCATGCTGTATGACAGTACAACCCACTTTGAAAAGAGCAATGGAATCTACTACTGCATCATGGGGAAAAAGTTTTTCTTTTTTTAACAGGTTTGGACCTATTCAGGTGTGACTTAAAAGAAGTTGCTGCAGGAGCTATGATTCAAACCCCAGCTACATAGGTGGTAAATACAGACACATGGACACCCTGAATGCATGTTTACGTATGGGATAGCACTGGCATGCAATGTATAGAGCAGGGGTCGGCAAGCCGTCGATCGTGAACACGTCGGGTACATTGTCCCTTTCCTTGCCGACCCCTGGACTTAGACCGGAGTGGGGGCGGTATTCACTGGAACCAATTCCCTGTAGTTACTCCCTGCAGCAGCTGGATGTCTGCTTTTCCTACTCTCCTTCCTGCTGACATCCAGCTGCTGCAGGAGGAAAATACAGGGGATCAGTTCCAGTAAATGTTGCACCCGCCACCCCTCCAGTCCAGGTTCCCCTTCCTTCTGCCGTATGGGTCCCTGTGTGCTCCCCTGGTTGCCCCCTCCCTCATAGCACTGCCAGCTTCCCCCCTCTCCTATCTGACCGGCTGCTGCGGGGGATCGATTCAGGATGGAGAGCGGGGGAAGGGGCTGGTAAATATGTCATTTGACTGTAATCGCAATCGTTTTCTCTAATGTGAGACATTAGGAGTCTGTTCAAACCCCTGATATTTCACCACAGGCCCCCAACAGGGCTGCTTAAAATGCAAAATATATTAAAGAAATAAAATTGTAAAAAATATAAAATAAAATAATTAAAAAAAAAAATTTTTAACACTGTCCTCTGCCCTACTGACACACCATGCTCTACCACTGCTCTACCTACACCATCCACTGCTCTAATGATACCATCCTCTGCCCCGCTGACACCATGACCTCTCCTCTGCCCCGCTGACACCATCCTCTGCCCGCCGCTGACTGACCATCCTCTGCCCCGCTGACACCATCCTCTGCCCCGCTGACACCATCCTCTGTCCGCTGACACCACTGCTCCGCTGACACCATCCTCTGCCCTACTGACACCATCCACTGCCCTACTGACACCATCCACTGCCCTACTGACACCATCCACTGCCCTACTGACCCCATCCACTGCCCTACTGACACCATCCACTGCCCTACTGACACCATCCACTGCCCACTGACACCATCCACTGCCCTACTGACACCATCCACTGACCCCCTCTGACTGACCCCAATCCACTGCCCTCCACTGACACCATCCACTGCCCTACTGACACCATCCACTGCCCTACTGACACAATCCACCTGCCCTACTGACACCATCCACTGCCCTACTGACACCATCCTCTGCCCACTGACACCATCCTCTGCCCTACTGACTGACACCATCCTCTGCCACTGACTGACACCATCCTCTGCCCTACTGACACTATCCACATTTAAGGTAGGCTACGTTCATATTTTTACAGTGACATTTTATTTTTTCTAAGTTCTCCTTACTTATTTAGTTAGGCCTTGCTAGTTAATTTCTTTAAAAAAAGGGCACCCAGTGATCTTTGATCTCTTTCATGTTGCTCAGGTAAACCTCCACCTCCCAAAGGTTGCCTACCCCTGGTGTAGAGGTTACAAGAGAACGTTTTGTGTCCATGTAAGAAAACATTAATTCTCCTAGACGAGGTTCCAGGTCCAAACACAGTTGGAAAAAATCCTGATTTTGTATTTGATTATCCTGTACATTTAGTTCCACCTGTAACACATGGCAGTACTTACCGTCTATGTGACGGCCACAGGCCTATACCTGGGCGTTTTGCATTGAGCAGTTGGATGGCGGGGATGGGATTGGAGAAAAGATGACAAAAACAAAACATTGCGCTGACTAAGACGGCAGAGGCGGCACGACCATCCTGTACAAAACAGAGTACAAAAAACAATTATTGTTACCAAACTGAAGATAACTTAAAGCTTTACCCTGCTTTGTACATATTTCACTGTCAGTATTATACATATTTAACTCGTGTAGTACCATCTATAAAGGAAAAAAATTATAAAAGCAATCATTGTTCAAATCAGCATGATGAATACTGTTTATATAACACTTCCAGGTATTTATTACCTTCCATAGAGCTCATAGTACTCATGACAATGCCTTTATCTACTTCTCACTTCTCAAAGACAGCACCATCTCTGTTTGGGCATCATCCAGGGTCACTATCTACTTCTTGGACTAAGGTGCCATCTCAGAGGTGACACAATCATGTAAGCCAGCCCTAATGCCTACGTTCACAAATGTCTGACACAAACCAGCCCCCTGCTGTAGTCTCTCCCGATGTAACTTACTGCAAAAGTTACAATATTACAATCTGATAACTGAGGAAGAAGAGACTTCGGAAATGCTTCCTCCTGCCTGTAGCAGACTAATGACACCCTCTCTGCCTAGGCAAAGCCATCTGACTGTAATTAAAGGACACCTTTAAATAATAAGATGTGGAAGTTTTATGAAACATTACACTGTTGCTGTATGTTATAACATGTCAGGAATCTATTCATGTAAACTTGTACAGTTCATTAAAAGGTCCACTTTGATACCATTCTTTCCTTTGTTTTGATAAATATGACATTCTTAGAGGCACACAGCTATTTAAAATCCCTACCCAGTGGAGCCAACACTATACTTTCCCTTCCAAAGTCATACAGATAGTCAACAGGTGATGATTCCAATGGGTATTAAACCTAGGAGTGTCACAGTGCTAGCCTGGCAGAAATAAAATATGGCGAGACTGTTAAAAATGTATATATATGATATGTACTACGAGCAGCAAAAATACATTGGGCTAAGACAGCTGAGAACTTTTCAGTCTGCCCTCGTATACACAGTATATATATATATATATATATATATATATATATATATATATATACACAGTGGGGATCAAAAGTTTGGGCACCCCAGCTAAAAATTTGTATTAATGTGCATAAAGAAGCCAATTAAAGATGGAAAAATCTCCAAAAGGCATCAAATTACAGATTAAACATTCTTATAATATGTCAAAAAAGTTAGATTTTATTTGCATCATTTACACTTTCAAAATAACAGAAAACAAAAAAATGGCGTCTGCAAAAGTTTGGGCACCCTGCAGAATTTATAGCATGCACTGCCCCCTTTGCAAAGCTGAGACCTGCCAGTGTCGTGGATTGTTCTCAATCATCGTCTGGGAAGACCAGGTGATGTCAATCTCAAAGGTTTTAAATGCCCAGACTCATCTGACCTTGCCCCAACAATCAGCACCATGGGTTCTTCTAAGCAGTTGTCTAGAAAACTGAAACTGAAAATAGTTGACGCTCACAAAGCTGGAGAAGGCTATAAGAAGATAGCAAAGAGTTTTCAGATGTCAATATCCTCTGTTCGGAATGTAATTAAGAAATGGCAGTCATCAGGAACAGTGGAAGTTAAAGCAAGATCTGGAAGACCAAGAAAAATATCAGACAGAACAGCTCGCAGGATTGTGAGAAAAACAATTAAAAACCCACGTTTGACTGCACAATCCCTCCAGAAAGATCTGGCAGACACTGGAGTTGTGGTACACTATTCCACTATAAAGAGATACTTGTACAAATATGGTCTTCATGGAAGAGTCATCAGAAGAAAACCTCTTCTACGTCCTCACCACAAAAATCATCGTTTGAACTTTGCAAATAAACATATAGACAAGCCTGATGCATTTTGGAAACAAGTTCTGTGGACCAATGAGGTTAAAATTGAACTTTTTGGCCGGAATGAGCAAAGGTACGTTTGGAGAAGAAGGGGCACAGAATTTAATGAAAAGAACCTCTGTCCAACTGTTAAGCATGGGGTTGGATCAATCATGCTTTGGGGTTGTGTTGCAGCCAGTGGCACAGGGAACATCTCACGAGTAGAAGGAAAAATGGATTCAATAAAATTTCAGCAAATTTTGGATGGTAACTTGATGCCATCTGTGAAAAAGCTGAAGTTAAAGAGAGGATGGCTTCTACAAATGGATAATGATCCTAAACACACCTCGAAATCCACGGAGGATTACATCAAGAGGCGTAAACTGAAGGTTTTGCCATGGCCTTCACAATCTCCTGACCTCAACATAATTGAAAATCTATGGATAGACCTTAAAAGAGCAGTGCGTGACAGACAGCCCAGAAATCTCAAAGAACTGGAAGACTTTTGTAAGGAAGAATGGGCAAAGATACCTCAAACAAGAATTGAAAGACTCTTGGCTGGCTACAAAAAGCGTTTAGAAGCTGTGATACTTGCCAAAGGGGGCAGTACAAGATATTAACTCTGCAGGGTGCCCAAACTTTTGCAGACGCGCCATTTTTTTGTTTTCTGTTATTTTGAAAGTGTAAATGATGGAAATAAAATCTAACTTTTGTTGACATATTATAAGAATGTCTAATCTGTAATTTGATGCCTTTTGGAGATTTTTCCATCTTTCCTTGGCTTCTTTATGCACATTAATACAAATTTTTAGCTGGGGTGCCCAAACTTTCGATCCCCACTGTATATATATATATATATATATATATATATATATAAAATCTTAGATTGTAAGCTCCAGGATCAGGTCCCTCCTTAACCCTCTTGTATTGAACTGTATTGTTGCTGTATTGTCTCCCTTTATATTGTAAAGTGCTGAGCAAACTGTTGGCGCGATATAAATCCTGTATAATAATAATAAAATATATTAGTGAGGCACTGATGGGCAGGATTGTGGACAGTACATTTGTGTCACCTAAATTCCTCACCTTTACAATAGTAAAGGGTTCTGGGGTTTGACGAACATGAAGAAAACAACATTTTCGTTTTCTCAGAATGTTAGTCTTGGGTCCTTGAGCCTAGAGGCACAATAAAGCTTTTGGTGAGATAAAACCTCCATTTCTAGGTTCACAGTCTCACTTTGTAGCCAGACCTCATTCATTTACTCAGCTGCCCACAGACCTTTATAGAAGTGAGAGGACTGATGCTGAGGGCTCTCTTTCTCTCTCTGCTCAGGAAGCCTGCTGTTAGGTGAAAAGTCTGAGTGCCGACAGAACACTAACAAGTTCAAGCGCTACCTGTTTGTTTGCTCAGGAAGTGACCTGACTTTAGTTAGTGTTTAAGACTCTGGGGTTGATTTACTAAAACTGGAGAGTGCAAAATCTGGTGCAGCTCTGCAGAGGAACCAATCAGCTTCCAGTTTTTTTTTTTGTAAAAGCTTAATTGAACAAGCTGAAGTTAGAAGCTGATTGGCTCCCATGTACAGCTGTACTGTTCCAGATTTTGCACTTTCCAGTTTCAGTTACCCCCCGTTCACATCTATGCGGGTGGTGCAGCTGTGGATCCACACGAAAATCCGTGCAGACGCACCACCCGCATAGAGAATTGCGGACCTGCGGGCGGGTGCCATTAGTTCTAATGGCACGCCGCCCGCACTGGGAAACGCAACCGTACTGGGAACTGAGGTTCCCGTGCGGGCTGCGTTTTCCAAAGAAGTGCAGGGACTTCTTCCCTGCGTGTCATGGGCCATTCAAATGAATGGGCTCTCTTGCCTGTGCAAAACGCAGCCCGCATGGCCGCATAGGTGTAAATTGGGGGTGTTAAATCAATACTTTCTTTGCTTTGTGCTATGGACTTGCTGTACAAAACACTCATGCGTTGAACTTTGCTTGCTGAATAAAAGTGCCAGGCAAACCTTGGACAGTTTCTGGGTGTCTGTCTTGTGCATAGTTTACTGCTGTCACTATTATTATTATTATACAGGATTTATATGGCGCCAACAGTTTGCTCAGCGCTTTACAATATAACGGGAGACAATACAGCAACAATACAGTTCAATACAAGAGGGTTAGGAGGGTCCTGATCCTGGGAGCTTACAATCTAGGAGGGAGGGGCTGGTGGTATAAAAGGTAATAACTGTGGGGGATGGACTGGTAGGAGGAATAGAAGATTCCATTACTACCATCTGAGCCTGTCCCTTTTAAAATATACACTCATCGGCCAGTTTATTAGGTCCACCTTGCTAGTACTGGGTTGGACCCCCTTTTGCCTTCAGAACGGCCTTCATTCTTGTGGCGTAGATCCTACAAGGTGTTGGAAACATTCCTCAGAGATTTTGGTTCATATTAACATGACAGCATCATGCAGTTGCTGCAGATTTGTCAGCTGCACATCCATGAAGCGTTGATGCAAGGCAGGATGGATCAGTGCTTTCATGTTGATTACGCCGAATTCTGACCCTACCATCTGAATGTCGCAGCTGCAATTGAGACTCATCAGACCAAGCAACATTTTTCCAATGTTCAATTGTCCAATTTTGGTGACCTGTGTGAATTGTAGCCTCCGTTTCCTGTTCTTAGCTGACAGGAGTGGCACCCGCTGTGGTCTTCTGCTGCTGTAGCCCATCTGCTTCAAGGTTCGACATGTTGTGCACTTAGAGATGGTAATCTGCGTACCTTGGTTGTAACGAGTGGTTATTTGAGTTACTGTTGAATTTCTATTATCTCCTACCAGTCTGCCTATTCACCTCTTCCTTCATCCACACAACTGCCACTCACTGCATATTTTCTCTTTTTCGGACCATTCTCGGTAAACCCTAGAGATGGTTGTGCGTGAAAATCCCAGTAGATCAGCAGTTTTTGAAATACTCAAACCAGCCCGTCTGGCACCAACAACCATACCACATTCAAAGTCACGTAAATCCCCTTTCTTCCCCATTCTGGTGCTTGGTTTGAACTTCAGCAAGTCGTCTTCACCACGTCTAGATGCCTAAATGTATTGAGTTGCTGCCATGTGATTGGCTGATTAGCAATTTGTGTTACCAAGCAACTGAACAGGTGTACCTAATAAAGAGGCCAGTGAGTGTAATATATATATATATATATATATATATATATATATATATATATATATAAATAAAATGATGAACATAAACTATTTTGCATTGTTTAAAAAAAACAATGGATCAATCCATGGAATAATGTGGTTTCTTTTAATGCTGAGAAGTCACTTACCATGCAGTGTATAACGCAGACATTTTTGGGGTTCTGCTGTAACCAGTTGTGCATGTTCTTGCAAACAGCAAATAAATTATGCAAGCTGGGAGCTTGTCTTACAGGCCAACTGCATTCTGAGACCTGCAAGACATAAGCAACCATCAAAGCTGCCACTTATAATCAGATAGGGGGGGGGGGGGGGGGCACAGGGAGATCATCAGGTTATTACAACTACAGGAGGGTGATTGATGGGAGGGGAGGCAGGAAGCAAAGCAAGGGAAAGAAGAATGACAAGGGAAAGAAGGAAAAGGGGAGAGAGGGGAAAGGCTAGGATGGAAAGAAGAAGTAAAAGACCAAGGAGAAAGGAAAACGGGAAAGAGAAGGGAGGAGTTAAGAGAAAAAGAAAAGAGCAAAGAGGATGGAGGATGGGAAAGGAAAAGAGGGAAGTAAAAAGTAAGAGGTTAAGAGGAAATTTACATAGTCTTGCCGAAAAAAAGACAAAAGTCCATCCAGTTCAACCAAAAAAAGTTATAATCCTAATGAATGCCAAATTATGAGGGGTCTTCAAAAAGTTTCCACACTTTTATACATATATATATATACACACACACATATACACACAGAGTTAGTCTGGCTGAAAAAAAAGACAAAAGTCCATCCAGTTCAACCATTAAAAAAAAAAAAAAAGTTATAATCCTACACCCACAGTTGATCCAGAGGAAGGCAAAAAAAAAACACAGCAAAGCATGATCCAATTTGCTCCTGCAGGGGAAAAGATTCCTTCCTGATCCCCGAGAGGCAATCGGATATTCCCTGGATCAACTTTACCTATAAATGTTATATCCAGTTATATTCTGTGTATCCAAGAAACAATCCAGGACTTTCCTACAGCAATCCACTGAGCTGGCCAGAACTAACTCTTGAGGGAGTCTATTCCACATTTTCACAGCTCTCACTGTGAAGAAACCTTTCCTTGCTTGTAGATTAAATTTCTTTTCCTCCAGACGTAAAGAGCGCCCCCTTGTCCTCTGTGATGACCTCAGGGGGAATTACTCTACACCGAGTTCACTATATGAACCACTGATGTATTATACATGGAGATCATATCCCCCTTATGTATTATACATGGTGATCATATCCCCCCTTATGTATTATACATGGAGATCATATCCCCCCCTTATGTATTATCATGAGATCATATCCCCCCCTTATGTATTATACATGGAGATCATATCCCCCCTTATGTATTATACATGGTGATCATATCCCCCCTTATGTATTATACATGGAGATCATATCCCCCCTTATGTATTATACATGGAGATCATATCCCCCCTTATGTATTATACATGGAGATCATATCCCCCTTATGTATTATACATGGAGATCATATCCCCCTTATGTATTATACATGGAGATCATATCCCCCCTTATGTATTATACATGGAGATCATATCCCCCCTTATGTATTATACATGGAGATCATGTCCCCCCCTTATGTATTATACATGGAGATCATATCCCCCCCTTAGTGTATTATACATGGAGATCATATCCCCCCTTTGTATTATACATGGAGATCATATCCCACCCCCCTTATGTATTATACATGGAGATCATATCCCCCCCTTATGTATTATACATGGAGATCATACCCCCCCCCTTTTGTATTATACATGGAGATCATATCCCCCCCCCTTATGTATTATACATGGAGATCATATCCCCCCTTATGTATTATACATGGAGATCATATCCCCCTTATGTATTATACATGGAGATCATACCCCCCCTCCCCCTTTTGTATTATACATGGAGATCATATCCCCCCCTTATGTATTATACAGGAGATCATATCCCCCCTTATGTATTATACATGGAGATCATATCCCCCCTTATGTATTATACATGGAGATCATATCCCCCCCCCTTATGTATTATACATGGAGATCATATCCCCCCTTATGTATTATACATGGAGATCATATCCCCCCCCCCTTATGTATTATACATGGAGATCATATCCCCCCCTTATGTATTATACATGGTGATCATACCCCCCCCCCCCTTATGTATTATACATGGAGATCATATCCCCCCTTATGTATTATACATGGAGATCATATCCCCCCTTATGTATTATACATGGAGATCATATCCCCCCTTATGTATTATACATGGTGATCATATCCCCCTTATGTATTATACATGGTGATCATATCCCCCCTATGTATTATACATGGAGATCATATCCCCCCTTTTGTATTATACATGGAGATCATATCCCCCCCTTATGTATTATACATGGTGATCATATCCCCCCCCTTATGTATTATACATGGTGATCATATCCCCCCTTATGTATTATACATGGAGATCATATATCCCCCTTATGTATTATACATGGAGATCATATCCCCCCTTATGTATTATACATGGAGATCATATCCCCCCTTATGTATTATACATGGTGATCATATCCCCCCCCCTTATGTATTATACATGGAGATCATATCCCCCCCCTTATGTATTATACATGGAGATCATATCCCCCCTTATGTATTATACATGGAGATCATATCCCCCCCTTATGTATTATACATGGCGATCATATCCCCCCTTATGTATTATACATGGAGATCATATCCCCCCTTATGTATTATACATGGAGATCATATCCCCCCTTATGTATTATACATGGTGATCATGTACCCCCCCCTTATGTATTATACATGGAGATCATATCCCCCCTTATGTATTATACATGGAGATCATATCCCCCCCTTATGTATTATACATGGAGATCATATCCCCCTTATGTATTATACATGGTGCTCATATCCCCCTTATGTATTATACATGGTGATCATATCCCCCCTTATGTATTATACATGGTGATCATATCCCCCCCTTATGTATTAAACATGGAGATCATATCCCCCCCCTTATGTATTATACATGGTGATCATATCCCCCCTTATGTATTATACATGGTGATCATATCCCCCCCTATGTATTATACATGGTGATCATATCCCCCCCTTATGTATTATACATGGGAGATCATATCCCCCCTTATGTATTATACATGGTGATCATATCCCCCCTATGTATTATACATGGTGATCATATCCCCCCCTTATGTATTATACATGGAGATCATATCCCCCCTTATGTATTATACATGGTGATCATATCCCCCCTTATGTATTATACATGGAGATCATATCCCCCTTATGTATTATACATGGAGATCATATCCCCCTTATGTATTATACATGGTGATCATATCCCCCCTTATGTATTATACATAGTGATCATATCCCCCCTTATGTATTATACATGGAGATCATATCCCCCCCCTTATGTATTATACATGGAGATCATATCCCCCCCCTTATGTATTATACATGGAGATCATATCCCCCCTTATGTATTATACATGGAGATCATATCCCCCCTTATGTATTATATGGAGATCATATCCCCCCCTTATGTATTATACATGGAGATCATATCCCCCCTTATGTATTATACATGGAGATCATATCCCCCCTTATGTATTATACATGGAGATCATATCCCCCCCCTTATGTATTATACATGGAGATCATATCCCCCCCCTTATGTATTATACATGGAGATCATATCCCCCTTATGTATTATATGGAGATCATATCCCCCCTTATGTATTATACATGGAGATCATATCCCCCTTATGTATTATACATGGTGATCATATCCCCCCCTTATGTATTATACATGGAGATCATATCCCCCCCTTATGTATTATACATGGAGATCATATCCCCCCTTATGTATTATACATGGAGATCATATCCCCCCTTATGTATTATACATGGTGATCATATCCCCCCCTTATGTATTATACATGGTGATCATATCCCCCCTTATGTATTATACATGGTGATCATATCCCCCCCTATGTATTATACATGGTGATCATATCCCCCCCTTAATCTCCTTTTCTCAAGAGAGATAAAATTTTAGTTCCTCTAATCTTTCCTCATAGCTGAGCTCCTCCATGCCTCCTATCAGTTTGGTTGCCCTTCTCTGTACTTTCTCCAGTTCCCCAATGTTCTTTTTGTGAATTGGTGCCCAAAATTGAACTGCATATTCCAGATGAGTTGTTACTAATGATTAAAGGGGGGGGGGGAAGCAAAAGGAAAATGGAAACGAAAAAGAACAGTGGAAAAGAAGAAGGGAAAAGGGAAATGAAAATGGAAAACAGTTAAGAGAAATGAAAAGGGTAAAGGGAAAGAGGAAGGGAAACAGGAACAAGAAAGGGGGAGGAATAGGAGAAAAAGAAATAATTATTTTAGAGGGGAAGAGAAAGATAAAGAAAGGGAAGAGGAAGGGAAATGAAAAATGGGAAAAAAAAAGAATGAAAGGGTAGGGGAAAATGGAAGGGAAGAGGAGAAAGAGTAAGAGGAAGAAAAAGGTGGAAGGAGGAAGGGAAAAGAAAACGAATAGAAAGAGAAATGAAAAAGAATGGATAAAGGAAGACAGTTCATGAACACTCATTAATACTGCAGTCTCACTAATAGTTACATTTCAATGTTCTATGACTGTCTTTCTGGAAAATATTTTGAATAAAACACTGTTCTGCCTCTCATATTCAGTAAAAGAATTTGCAGGTAAAATGATACTGGAATATGATGTTTCTTTGGATAATAGTGAACATCTTCAGCGATCTCAGGTACATTGGGTGACCACAGATATATTATTTACGCTCCAACAGAAAGGGGTCTATGTATAAAAAAATTTGCTTTACAAATGTGTCGTCATTCATGCAAAAGTAAAGAATAATGCTTGGAATGTTTGTAATACATGTGTAGTGTCAGTTCTATTCAATGTCCTGATGAATGTATCATTCCCTTACTATTTGAGCCTAAGAAACAATAACCATAAGGACATTCGAACATGAGAGTTAAAGAACATTCACGGATAGAGAAAACTGTCTAATACTGTAGTCTAAGGACATTCAACCAGAAGGGAAAATAACATGTCCTGTCCTGTGTACAGTCTATGGGGAACTTTGTGCGAACATACAGGTACAATCAGTCACATGCCCCTTTTGTTTGGTGTTTGCACAGGAATCTCCATAGACTGTACACAGTGCTGAGGTCTCCATCATATTATTTCCCCTTCTGGTTGAATGTTCTCAGCCTATAGTGGTACAGGTACTCCCCCCAAAAGAGTCAGCCCTGATCTCTACCCCCATACCCACCTCTGAGCACTGTCCCTTGGTTCTATCTCCTACCCACCTCACAGTACCGCCCCTTTTTCAGAATACAGAACCAAGTATATATTTACAAAAGTAATTCATATGGAAAGTGTTAATGATATACCACAGGAAAAATAGACCCCTAGCAACAATAAATCTCCCATCAGCCAGCATGAATAGACCCTCCAGCAGCCAGTAACAGTAGACACCTCCCTCAACAGTAGATCCCTCCCAGCAACAATTGACCCTGCAGAAACAATAGCCCCCCTAGCAACAATAGTTCCCCCAGAACAATAGATCCCATCCAGGGACAATAGACCCCCCCAGCAACTGTAGACACCTCCCTCAACAGTAGATCCCTCCCAGCAACAACTGATCCTGCAGCAAGAATAGTTCTCCCACCAGCAACAATAAATCTCCTCCAGGGACAACAGACCCCTCCCCCCAGCAACAGTAGACACTTCCCTCAACAGTAGATGCTTCCCAGCAACAATTGACCCTGCAGAAACAATAGTCCCCCCTAGCAACAATAGTTCCCCCACAACAATAGATCCCATCCGGGGACAATAGACCCTCCCAGCAGTTAGCAACAGTAGACACCTCCCTCAACAGTAGATCCCTCCCAGCAACAACTGATCCTGCAGCAACAATAGTTCCACCACCAGCAACAATATATCTCCTCCAGGGACCACAGCCCCTCCCCCCAGCAACAGTAGACACTTCAATCAACAGTAGATGCTTCCCAGCAACAGTTGACCCTGCATGGACAATAGGACCCCTCCAGGGACAATAGACCCTCCAGCAGCCAGCAACAGTAGACACCTCCCTCAACAGTAGATGCTTCCCAGCAAGAATCAATCCTGCAGCGACAATAATTCCCCCTATCAACAATAGATCCCCAGCCACAGTAGATATACCACAGGAAAAATAGACCCAGCAACAATAAATCTCCAATCAGCCAGCATGAATAGACCCTCCAGCAACCAACAACAGTAGACCCCTCCCTTAACAGTATATCCCTCCAGCAACAATTGACTCTGCAGCAACAATTGTTCCCCCACCAGAAACAATATATCCCACCACAATAATAGATCCCCTCCAGGGACAATAGACCCCCAGCAGCCAACAACAGTAGACCCCTCCCTCAACAGTATATCCCTCCCAGCAACAATTGACCCTGCAGCAACAATTGTTCCCCCACCAGAAACAATATATCCCACCACAATAATAGATCCCCTCCAGGGACAATAGACCACAGCCAGCAACAGTAGACACCTCCCGCAACAGTAGATGCTTCCAAGCAACAATTGACCCTGCAGCAACAAGAGTTCCCCCTAGCAACAAAAGATCACCAGCAGCAATAGATATACCACAGGAAAAAGAGACCCCAGCAACAATAAATCTCCAATCAGCCAGCATGAATAGACCCTCCAGCAACCAACAACAGTAGACCCCTCCCTTAACAGTATATCCCTCTCAGCAACAATTGACTCTGCAGCAACAATTGTTCCCCCACCTGAAACAATATATCCCACCACAATAATAGATCCCCTCCAGGGACAATAGACCCCCAGCAGCCAACAACAGTAGACCCCTCCCTCAACAGTATATCCCTCCCAGCAACAATTGACCCTGCAGCAACAATTGTTCCCCCACCAGAAACAATATATCCCACCACAATAATAGATCCCCTCCAGGGACAATAGACCACAGCCAGCAACAGTAGACACCTCCCGCAACAGTAGATGCTTCCAAGCAACAATTGACCCTGCAGCAACAAGAGTTCCCCCTAGCAACAAAAGATCACCAGCAGCAATAGATATACCACAGGAAAAAGAGACCCCAGCAACAATAAATCTCCCATCAGCCAGCATGATTAGACCCTCCAGCAGTCAGCAACAGTAGTCACCTCCCTCAACAGTAGATCCCTTCCAGCAACAATTGACCTTGCAGCACCAAAACTCCCCCCACCGGCAACAATAGATCCCCCCACAAAAATAGATCCCCTCCAGGGACAATAGACCCCCCAGCAGCCAGCATCAATACACGTTCCAGCATACCCCAGCAACCCTTGCCATTACATACATTCAGTGCTGGAGGTGCAAGAACTGTGTTCCCCTGCACTCCTGCAGAGAGAAAGCCCTGGCGTTGGACTATTTTCTCTATTGGTAGAATGTTTAACTGTTAAGGTCGAATGTTCTTGAAGTATTTTTTCTTAGGCTTGAATGAAAAGGCAATTCGCCCATCGAAAGGTAACAAATAGAAACTGACATTACACACATCTTACAAACAATCTGGGTATTTTTTGTTACCTTTGTGGCAATGATGAGACATTTGCAAGTTTTTTATATACATACACACACACACACACACGCGGACCCCAAAGCGTTTCTAGCAACAGGGAAATTTCATTTGTTTTTCCACAAAGACTGCCGTAAGATCCAGTAAAGTCTAAGTAAAAGAACGGTGTAGTAGTAATAACTATATAAATAGCAAAAAAAAACACAAAAAAAAACAACACATTTTACTAAAACTGCCTGATGCAAAATCTGGTGCAGCTCTGCAGAGAAACCAATCGGCTTCCAGGTTGTATTGTCAAATCCTAATGCAGGCCATAGACAGGTCAAAAACCAGCCGTTTTTTTTATAAAAAAAAAACGAAAAATCGGTTGTTTGATCGGCCGACGTTACCACCAATGGTAAAAAAAATTGGCCGATTTTCGTCCCGTCTACGGCCGGCATTTAATTACGTCTGTCCCTTTGAAGAGAGCTCCGCTATTATATTTGACATGAAAAAGTATTGCGGTTGCAACAATGTATCCATTTCAGAAACAAATGTTTTTAAACAGATACAAATAGATACATTGTTGCAACCGCAATACTTTTTCATGTCAAATATAATAGCAGACTGGAAACCTTCTTCTTCTTCTTCTTTTTCTTCTTCTTCTTTTTCTTCTTGCAGGTCACGGCTCATGTGTAGATTTTTTATCGGTAAAACGATTGGCTGATTTGCCCATCATTGCCAGGAAAATCGGTCGATCGTCAAAATCAGCCGCAAATTTTCCAACTTGACCGATAAAAAAAAATGTGCCAAAACCCCGAAAAACAGCCGACCGCTTAACCCACTGACGGTGCAAAAATCGGCCGATTTTTTTTCCAGCCGAAAAATTGGCCGATTTTCGACCCGTCTATGGCCTGAATTAAGCTGGCCATACACTATACAATTTTCTGTCTAATTTCTGCCCAATTTCCTTTAGATTTACCTTCAATTATGTAGTGCAAGAGCCTGCCTGATTGGATGCAATTGAAAGTGTTAGGTTTGACCTCCTATTATGTGGTTTTTGGTAAATCTAAACCAAAAATCTCAAGAAAATTGAATAGTGTATGGCCAGCCTTAGGCTCCATTTACACCTGTGTGACTCCAAAGATGCATGATTTGGAGTGCAACCTTGACGCAATCTTGACACAACTTTGGATGGGTGCAACTTGGATGCTACTTTGGCTTTGACCAATAATGGACAACTGTTGCATGTATAAGGCTCCGTTCATATCTGAGCGTAGCGTTTTTGGGGTTTATGGTTTTTGGTAAATCTAAACCAAAAATCTCAAAAAATTGTATAATGTATGGCCGGCCTAACTGAACAAGCTGAAGTTAGAAGCTGATTTGCTCCAATGCACATCTGCACCAGATTCTGATTGCACCAGTTTTAGTAAATCTCCCCCATTATGTTGCTGTGATCTAAAAAAAAAACCAATCTTTTGAGATGACGCAGATCTGTGTGACGCCATAGACGGCAATGACGCACCCGGTTGTGGAACTTGGCACTGCGGTAAGACTTGGGTGATAGATTGAACACTGTGTAGTGGTCCAGATGTCTGGAATCGAGGAATGAGCGGACGTCTTCAATATGGTTCCTGAATCCCAGCTCCACGCCCTCGCTGGAAACGACATCACTGGGAAGGAAGCACAATTCTTTTAGTGGCAACGATCAGGAATGTATTGGGCTTTTCTGTTAGCGATTCAACCCCCCTACAAAAACCAATCCTATCCCGCCAATCATTTACCCCGAGATGAATAAAACAAAAACATAAATGGGCAATTTCACGTTTGTTCCCCCCATTAATGACGGATTTGCAGCAATGTAATTGTCTAAGTTGCAGTTCCTGTCCTTATTGCCCATTTTCCTAAGGCCCCTTTCACAGATCAGGTCCGCCCGTCCGTTTTTCAAGTCGACCCGATCGGGCTCTCCATTGCTCTTTATGGAGCGGTGGGTGTAAACGGACATGGACCCACCTGCATCCGATCTGATCCTGCCTACTAAAAACAGACGGATCCCCATCCGTCTGGCTGATTGGATCGAATGACAGTCGGATGCAGGGGTGTCCCTAGGGTTGGTGTCAACCGGTGTGATAACACTTGGTGACACCCCCTCCGACGATCCTCGCAGGATGGATCGGATCTGAGGATTGAGCATAATGGATCGGACTCCGATCCATTATGCTCCCCAATCCGCAGATCCGATCCATCCTGCGGGGATCATCGGCTTTCTTTACAACTTACCTTTTCGTGGTGCGGGTCCGGTGTCACCCCGTATAGGTTGAATGCGGATGATCCCCACAGGATGGATCGGATCTGCGGATTGGGGAGAAATCCCACTGGACACTTGTACCTACAGGCAGTGGCGTCCCTAGGCAGGTGCAGGGGGTGCGTGCCGCACTGGGTGACACCTACCGCATGGGGTGACACCGGACCCGCTCCACCAAAAGGTAAGTTGTAAAGCAAGCCGACTCCGATCCTTTATGCTCCCCAATCCGCAGATCCGATTTATCTTGCGGGGATCGTCGGCTTTCTTTACAACTTACCTTTTCGTAGAGCAGGTCCGGTGTCACCCCGTATAGGTTGAATGCCGACAATCCCCGCAGGATGGTTCAGATCTGCGGATTAAGCATAAGATTGGAGTCTGATCCATTATGCTCCCCAATCCGCAGATCCGATCCATCCTGCGGAGATCGTCGGCTTTCTTTACAACTTACCTTTTCGTGGAGCGGGTCCGGTGTCACCCTGTGCGGTAGGTGTCACCCGGTGAAACGCACACTCCCCGCACCTGCCTCGGGACGGCACTGGTTGAATGGAAACGGACAGGTGGACTGTTTCCATCCGACAACCCATACAGGACAGAGGGCTTTGTTTGTGTCTCTGCATAAACGGAGTGGACACGGACCTGTCATCCGCTGATTCAGTGGGGATCAGTCAGCAGATCCACTGACTGGTCCGCCCCGTGTGAAAGGGACCTAATTCTCAGTGTTGCTGCATCTTTCAGACCCCATTCACCTTTATAGGAATTCCCTGACTACTATGAGCTCTGGTTCACACTGTTGCGGTGCGGAATTCCGTGGACACACGGAACAGCGGGTGGTCCCATAGCAAACTGCTTACTGTGGGGGCACCTGACAGGAGGGAGGGGCCAGGAGAGCCGGCGGGGGACCCGAGAAGAGGAGGATCCGGGCTGCTCTGTGCAAAACCACTACACACAGCAGGTAAGTATAGACATGTTTGTTATTTTACAAAATAAAATGTAAAAAAAAAAAATAAACCTTTAGTCCTGGTTCACACTGATGCAGTGTGGAATTCCATGGACACACGGAACAGAGGGTGCCCCCACAGCAAGCCGCTTACTGTGGGGGCACCTGACAGGAGGGAGGGGCCAGGAGAGCCAGTGGGGGACCTGAGAAAAGGAGGATCGGGCTGCTCTGTGCAAAACCACTGCACACAGCAGGTAAGTATAGACTTACAAAATAAAATGTAAAAAAATGAACCTTTAGCCCGGGTTCACACTGATGCGGTGCGGAATTCGCAGCTAATTCTGCACCGCATCAGAATCGCACCCCATTCATGCGAACCGCTACGGGTGTGTATGTTAAGTTAACAACACCCTGAAGCGGTCCGCAAAACGTGGTGCGATGTGCAGAATCGGATCGCATTGGTGTGAATACCCATGTGATCCGATTCTAGTGCGGACCCAAAAAAAAGAGTCCTGCGTGTTTTTGGTGCGGTGCAATTAGAGCCATACAAAATGTACGGCTCCGATCGCACCGCACACAAAGCGCATGTGATTCGCACAGGAATACGGTGCGGTTCCTGTGCGAATCACATGCGATGTACCGCACCGCACATATGTGAACCCGGGCTAAAAGTGTGGCAGATAGCTGAACTAGATAGAAATCTGTGGCACATCTGTACACAATAAAATAACAATGCTATAGCTAGAAGGCATGGTAAAGTGTGCGACAGGGGCGGACTGACCATTTGGAAACCCGGGCACTGCCCAAGGGCCCGGGTCAGTAGGGGGCCCCATGAGATGCCCCGGTACCTTTTTCATAGGCTTTTCTGAGTTTGGGCAAGGAGATAGGGGCCCCATAATCCCCGGGGGCCCCATGAGTTGTCAGTCCGCCCCTGGTGTGCACTGATGTATTATTACAGCTCTCTCTGCAGATCGTGGCTGTGACTTTACAATGCCTCCCAGCCAACTACATTCTACATTGATTGTGTATGGCCATGCTACAGGTTTGCTTCAAATTCAGATGCATTTTCAAACCAGAGAAGAAAGTGACAGGACCTTTCTGCTTGCTCAATTATTTTAAAGGATAAGTTCACCTGTTGAAAAAAAGTAACAAATGCACATTTTTTTGCAAATAAAAAAAACTACATTTATCATATTTTTTCTAAGAAGCCTGTAAAGTATTGCACCCACGATCAGCAGATTATAGGTGCTATGTCATGCTTCTGCAGGACAGCTGTCTGCCTGTACCTCATACATGCAGACAGTTACTGGAGAGCAGGAAGAGCAATGAACTACGAGAGAGCTCACCAGTGCCCCCGCAGTTCATTGAGAACTACAAGCCGTCATCCACAGTGACTGACAGTACTTGTAGTCTATTTATTCACACATGTGTGACAGGGTGGGGGGAATCTGGGGAGAGGGGGGTGAATGCTGAACATATTACACCCTATGGGTGTAATATGTAAATCAGGGCTTTTTTTTTTCCTCAGAGAAGAGGCATAGGAACTCACCCTCCCTCCTTTAGGTCATAATTGTCTCTGCCCCTACCTCTCCTGGAACCGCCCCCTTTAGAGAACAAGGAACAATGTATAATTTGGAGGGCTATACAACTAATTTGTATGGAATTTGTTAATAAAAGGCAATGCAGTAAAACGAAGGGATGGCCCAAAACAGTAAAGAGACAGCCCCATATATTGAGCAAACAGACAGTCCCATATATTCAGCATAGAGACAACCCAATCCAGCAAAGAGACAGCGACATATATTCAAAGGTGAAGGAAATCACCCCCCTCCTCTAGGTCACATTTGTCTCTGCCCCCTACCCACCTCTAGAACAGCCCCCTTTAGAGAACAGGGAACCACATATAATTTAGGGGGCTAGACAAGTAATTTGTATGGAATTTGTTAATAAAAAGCAATGTAAAATGAGAGATGGCCCAATCCAGTAAAGAAACATCCCCATATATTGAGCAAACAGACATCCCCATATATTCAAAGAGATGGCCCAATCCAGCAAAAAGACAGTCCCACATTTTCAGCAAACAGACATCCCCATAAATTCAGCAAAGAGATGACCCAATCCAGTAAAGAGACAGCCCCACATATTCAGCAAAGAGACAGCTCCATATATTCAACATGGAGACAGCTCCATATATTCAGTATAGAGACAACCTAATCCAGAGACAGCCCCATATATTCAAAGGTGAAGGAACTCGCCCCCCTCCTCTAGGTCATTCTTGTCTCCGCCCCCGACCCACTCCTAGAACCACCCCCTTTAGAGTACAGTGAATCATGTACTGTATAAATTGGGGAGGCTATACAAGTACTTTGTATGGAATGTGTTAATAAAAAGCAATGCAGTACAATGAAGGGATGGCCTAATCCAGAAAAGAGACACTCCATAGATTCAGCAAACAGACATCCCCATATATTCAAAAAGACATCCCAATCCCAAATCCAGGCAAATAGACATCTCAATCCAGACAAAGAGACATCCCCATCCAGGCAAAGAGACATCCCCATCCAGGCAAAGAAACATATCCATACAGCAAAGAGACATATCCATCCAAAGAGAGTCACAGCATGGGCCTATTTCCAGCAACATTCTCAATCAATTTACCAAAAATTGTCAGCTACAGCCAGTAAGCCAATTAGGAGACGAGGGGGCGGGGATGGACACATAGGATAACATGCCGGGGATGGACACATAGGAGAACATGCCGGGGATGGACACATATGAGAACATGCCGGGGATGGACACGTAGGAGAACATGCCGGGGATGGACACGTAGGAGAACACGCTGGGGATGGACACGTAGGAGAACACGCCGGGGATGGACACGTAGGAGAACACGCCAGGGATGGACACGTAGGAGAACACATGCCGGGGATGGACACGTATGAGAACATGCCGGGGATGGACACGTAGGAGAACATGCCGGGGATGGACACGTAGGAGAACACGCCGGGGATGGACACGTAGGATAACACGCCGGGGATGGACACGTAGGAGAACACGCCGGGGATGGACACGTAGGATAACACGCCGGGGATGGACACGTAGGATAACACGCCGGGGATGGACACGTAGGATAACACGCCGGGGATGGACACGTAGGATAACACGCCGGGGATGGACACATAGGATAACACGCCGGGGATGAGACATAGGATAACATGCCGGGGATGGACACATAGGATAACACGCTGGGGATGGACACATAGGATAACATGCCGGGGATGGACACATAGGGATAACATGCCGGGGATGGACACATAGGGTAACATGCCGGGGATGGACACATAGGATAACATGCCGGGGATGGACACATAGGGTAACATGCCGGGGATGGACACATAGGTAACATGCCGGGATGGAACACGTAGGATAACATGCTGGGGATGGACACGTAGGATAACATGCCGGGGATGGACACGTAGGATAACATGCTGGGGATGGACACGTAGGATAACATGCCGGGGATGGACACATAGGATAACATGCTGGGGATGGACACATAGGATAACACACCGGGGATGGACACGTAGGATAACACGCCGGGGATGGACACGCAGGATAACACGCCGGGGATGGACACACAGGATAACATGCCGGGGGAGTTTACTGGCTGTAGAAAAAAAAACGTCAAAAGCCAAAAACAGCCGCTGTAAAAACATCCCGTGTGCATGAGGACTAAAGCTGACCGTTCAATCTGAGCAATCACATTTACATCTACCATCATACATGTAGTGCAAGGGTCTGTCTGATTTTTTGGGTAGGTCTTCACAGTTATGGTAAAGGAGACTGCACAGAGGATGTCCAATCAGATTGTACCTTGTGAAGCCGTCTCTTTCTAACCTCATGACAGAACAATTAAATCTGATTGGTTGCTGCATATCTGAGCAATAGGCGCTGCTATTGGTCTTTGTGGACGGCAATGGTCAAGACTGCTGAAAATGAAACAGACCTGTGAAAAGACTTTGAAATAAATTTTATTCTTTACAAACAAAATAAAAAAAAAAAAAGAAAAAAAAAAAAGTTTCTTACCGATAATCCTTGAGGTAATATATGAGATATCCAGCTCTCCTTTCGTATAACTAAAAAAATAAAAGACAATGTGAGAAAATTCCCAAAAACTCTGGGAAAGAAACTAGTTGGTCCTGTACTGGGGAAAGATAAAGTAACCTTCCATACATCAAACTAAGGCCGGCCATACATGGGTTGAAATTCGACCGATTTTTTTCGTCTGGACCTAAGAATAATCGGCCGATTTTCGCTCTGTTAGTGGGTCAATGAGCACCGGCCGATTTTCGTGGTTCCTCCCCTTTTCGGTGATCGGGCGTGTTGGAAAATTTGTGAAAAACAAAAACGATTTTCGACTCAAATGTGGTCAAATTGTACGTCCGAAAAGAATATGCGTATGAGCCGTGACCTGGAAGGAACAGAAGTTTCGCCTGTTATATGGGGTGAACTTTATGACTCAGTCGGCCGATTTTTGAAATCATTGATGGTGCCATCGGACACCGAGCGAATGACGTTTTCGAATTTCGGATGAAAAATCGTTCGGAATTTGAACCATGTATGGCCTGCATAAGAGTGGAAATGTGCTCACTTTGGAGAGATTTCCCCCAAGAGCCCCCCACATCTTGGCAGGGTGTTGCAGGGACGCATTTGCTTTAAGGCACATTTTTTGCTTTTTCTTGCGTTATAGCAATCCATTACAAAAAAATCGTCTGGCGATGTCCCGCAACGTCCCAAAGAACGCACCATGTGCCGCTTTTGGCAATGCACCACCATGTAGCAAAAAACGGGCGGATCTGCGTTCTACATTTCTACACCAGGATTTCCATAACTGTGTCATCTCTGAGCTGCTCAGCAAGTAGATGGGGAACAGGGGCGGACTGACCATTCGGACACTCGGGAACTGCCCGAGGGCCCAGGGTCAGTAGGGGGCCCCATGAGATGCCTCTGGTACCTTTCATAGGCTTTTTTTTGGAGTGGTTTGAGTGTGGGCGAGGACACAGGGGGCCCCATGATCCCCTATTGTCCGGGGGGCCCCATGAGTTGTCAGTCCGCCCCTGATGGGGAACCTACAGGGCTGCGGTTAGAAACCACGAGGCCCCATACAGCCATTGTTGAAATATGGACGGCGCCACTGGATGTATACACAAAAACAAGGAAGGAGAAAAAAAACAAAAAAGAAGAAGAGCAGCTATCTAGTCCTTGAAAACCAAGGCGATTGGAAGATGATTGATCGATTAGAACAGCGCTCTTCACCAAATTAATCTCTATTGATACAAACGGAATACAATCAGCATCAATATTAGTAAAAAAAAGAAAAAAAAAACTTTAGTCAAATCCCATCCATATAAAAAATGGTGACAAATAAATGAATACATTGTGTAAAATCTGAAAATAAATCAAATAAATCGTGCATGTATGAAAGTGAACAAGCGACTATATAAAATCAATATTAGTAAAATCATAAATAAATCAGTGTCCAAAAAATGTCTATAAAAAAAATATATGTATATCTTCACATAAATTCTTCTGATTAACCATTAGCCAGCCTGACAGGGCCCCTCCCCCTCCTCAAAAAAAAACAAAAAAACAAAAAAATAACACGCAGTTTACTATTATTATTATTATACAGTATTTATATAGTGCCAATAGTTCGCTCAGCGCTGTACATTACAATGGGAGACAATACATGAGACAGTACAATAACAATACAATACACGAGGGGTTAGAAGGCCCTGCTCCTTGGAGCTTACAATCTAGGAGGGAGGGGAAAGTGGTACAGGAGGAAATAGCTGTGGGGGATTGAGTGGTGGGAAGAGCGGAGGAGATCAGCAATTAGGTGAGGGCGGGGTAGGCTTCTCTGAAGAGATGGGCTTTCAGGGTCGCCTAAAGGTGAGGAGGGTAGGTGACAGTCTGATGGATTGGGGTAATGAGTTCCAGAGGATGGGAGAAGCCCTGAAGAAGTCCTGGAGCCGGGCATGGAAGGAGGAGACCAGGGAACTGGAGAGTAGGAGGTCTTGTGAGGAGCGGAGAGTGCGTTTTGGGTGGTAGATGGATATCAGGTCGGTGATGTAGTTTGGGTCAGTGTTATGAACAGCTTTGTATGTCAATGTTAATTCATAACTGAAGCATACATATATGCTTCAGTTATGAATGAACACAGTGAGGGATCAGTAATAAGCACACAGATCAGGGTTGCGCTCATCCTTTGACTTTCCAGATCTGCATGTTTATTCTGAGCCAGCATCTGAAAACCAGTGAAGCCAGGCACTTGGCATTTTCAGTAGAAGATCAGCAATGGCAGCTTTCATATTTTTCTCAGTTCAACTTTCCATTCATTTCTGATAATTATTTAAAAAAAAAAAATAATGATGATAATTGAAAATGACTATTTGCAGTATCTCCTCCCCTCCCACACAGCGACTGGGGACACAAAAATAACTGAAAGAAATATTTATTAAAAAGGACTCAGCTCCACTTCGACCCTTTATCAGCCAGTATGAGCCGCCCTTTAAAAGTTCACAAAACCGGAGGATTGGCTGATCGGGGCATTGGGAGCCCCTCCCAGTGACTGGCAGCTGTCGGTCACAGTGCCGGGGGTGCCGAGTGAGCGCGCTCCCACCACAGAACCAGCTGTAGGTATATAAACATACCTCTCACCATGTTGAGATGAGAACTAGGGACACCTATTAGCAAAAGTAAGTAGGCATAGGACACACCCCCTGCCACGCCCCCTTAAAGGGGAGTTTTTACCAAAAAAAGATTAGTTAAACCCACAAGTGCTTTTTTTTTACCACTACTATTCCTTTTTACTGGTTTTTGACAGTTACAAATGCAGAAACTTATAAATTGGATGAAAGGTTTAGCACTGGAAAACACTTTTTGAAAATAAAAAGTGCATTTTATATACAACTATAGAGATCAGACCAAAATGAGGGACAAATGAGGAGGAATGAGGGACAGAGGGACTTGGTTCCATATCAGGGACAGTCCCTCGAAATCAGGGACAGTCCCTCGAAGTCCCTCGAACTCAGGGACAGTCCCTCGAACTCAGGGACAGTCCCTCGAAATCAGGCACAGTTGGGAGCTATGATATATGTGGCAGCATGGTGTCAAATCCCACAGCGGTGCTGCCAAATAAATGCATACATCCAGCAAGAAGGGGTTCATATTCAGGGTAGAAATGAGGTTTTACACTCACCTGGCAACTGACTGCATTACTTTAGTAGACGTGTCCTTCAGAGTGTCCTTCAGGTTGTCCTTCAAGTTGCTGAAGAGGCGCCCAGCTCCTCCTTTGACCATGTCCAGGAGGCCCCCTCCATAATTGGCCTCCATGTCCGGGGAAGAGGCGCCTGCAAGATCAGAAAGAGATTTCATTATTCCAATGTATCTAACGAGACCTTGACCAGAATTCCACCAGGAGGTAAGTGTAAGCATTTGTCTGTGCCTATACCTCAACTCACTCCAACAAGGTTGTCTCTACTGTTTAGATCGGGGGTGAATAAATTAGGGAGCCTCTAGTGTGGCCCCCAGGGGCTGCACATAATATAATGTAATGTAATGCTACAGGAGATGGTCAGAGACTGAAGACATATGACAGGAGATGGTCAGAGACTGCGGACATATGACAGGAGATGGTCAGAGACTGCAGAAATATGACAGGTGATGGTCAGAGACTGGAGACATATGACAGGTGATGGTCAGAGACTGGAGAAATATGACATGTGATGGTCAGAGACTGGAGACATATGACAGGTGATGGTCAGAGACTGGAGAAATATGACAGGTGATGGTCAGAGACTGGAGACATATGACAGGTGATGGTCAGAGACTGGAGACATATGACAGGTGATGGTCAGAGACTGGAGACATATGACAGGTGATGGTCAGAGACTGCAGACATATGACAGGTGATGGTCAGAGACTGGAGACATATGACAGGTGATGGTCAGAGACTGCAGACATATGACAGGTGATGGTCAGAGACTGCAGACATATGACAGGTGATGGTCAGAGACTGCAGACATATGACAGGTGATGGTCAGAGACTGCAGACATATGACAGGTGATGGTCAGAGACTGCAGACATATGAGACTGGACATATGATGGTCAGAGACTGCAGACATATGACAGGTGATGGTAAGAGACTGCAGATGTGCAACAGGAGACAGTCAGAGATTGCAGATGTGAGATGGGAGATGGTCAGAGACTGCAAACAGGCATGAAGCAGGAGTTGGTTAGATACTGAAGACATAGAACAGGAGATGGTCAGAGAGTGCAAACATGGAACAGGAGATGGTCAGAGACTGCAGACATGGAACAGGAGATGGTCAGAGACTGCAGACATGGAACAGGAGATGGTCAGAGACTGCAGATATGGAACAGGAGATGGTCAGAGACTGCAGCAGGAGATAGTTAGAGACTGAAGACAGGAACAGGAGATGGGCAGAGACTGCAGATGTGCAATAGGAGATGGGCAGAGACTGCTCATATATAGCAGGAGACAGTAAGACATGGCAGACGTGAGATGGTCAGAGACTGCAGGCATGAAGCGTGAGATGGTCAGAGACTGCAGGCATGAAGCGTGAGATGGTCAGAGACTGCAGGCATGAAGCAGGAGATGGTCAGAGACTGAAGACATGGAACAGGAGATGGTCAGAGACTGCAGACATGGAACAGGAGATGGTCAGAGACTGCAGACATGGAACAGGAGATGGTCAGAGACTGCAGACATGGAACAGGAGATGGATAGAGATTAAAGACATGGAACAGGAGATGGTCAGAGACTGCAGACGAGCAACACCTGGGGACATGTTTTAGAAAACATTCTAGACTGATGACACGTTACATGAGACTGCTGGGGATCACCATTAATACAGCCCTGTATTGTATGAAAATTCTTCCATAATTGTGCTCCCTACAGCCTCCTTACTTATTACAAAACTGATTTTTCTTGCTACATTATAAGATCAGAGGGAAAAAAAGAAACAAGAAAAAAAGGAAATTAAAATAGTGTGAAAGCAATTGACCAAACCGACGACCTACTAAATCCCCCATCACATCACTGCGAAGCTTTTTTTCTTTTTGTACTTATTTGTACATTTGTTGCACAACAGCATAGGGCAGTCGATTCACTTGAATATGCTGCCCTGAGTGTGACAAACACATGAACGTGACTCCTGCACCTTTTTTTTTTTTGCAGACAGCCTCATGTGTTTGTTGCGTGGCTACTACCTACAACTGCAATGTGCGATGATCGAGCACCAAAACATAGCCTCTTCATGGCCCCTGAGGGCCACACAGTAAATGCCAAAGGACTGCATTAGATACCCCCCTTTCCAGCCATTGTATGTTCAAAATGTATGTTCGATATAACATTTCATTGGAAGGAGCTGAACTGCAACATTGGCTGACCTTTCTTGTGGCCGGATTCTAATAGTAACACACAGAGCGGTTGGCAGTGAGCAGCACAGCCGGGATTGTGATCCGTAGTACAGGATGACCTCTCCGTGCCTCTACCTAACACAATAGACATTGTAATTGGTAAACCTTCCATTCTGCTCCTCCATTCATGACACAAGGCAGGACACTTCTGCCAAAGACAACATATGGTCACACTGCCTCTTCCTCAACCTCACATCATCCCTGGAAATGTTCTCAGGGTCATCCTACCAAGAATACAAAGCTGTGAGCAGGACACGTATTACTACATATATGAGGGCTATACTGAAGGTAATGAAAAAGTAAACATAACTTTTTTTATTAACTTACATACAGTAGGCTGAAACAAAATGTCATGTGTTGGTAGAGGAACTCTTCGTCTATAGCAACTCTTCCTCTATACCACCACCAACAACTCTTCCTCTACACCACCAACAACTCTTCCTCTACACCACCAACAACTCTTCCTCTACACCACCAACAACTCTTCCTCTACACCACCAATAACTCTTCCTTCACACCACCAACATCCTCTACCACCACCAACAACTCTTCCTTCACACCACCAATAACTCTTCCTCTACACCACCAACAACTCTTCCTCTACACCACCAATAACTCTTCCTTCACACCACCAACAACTCTTCCTCTACACCACCAACAACTCTTCCTCACACCACCAACAACTCTTCCTCTACACCACCAACAACTCTTCCTCTACACCACCAACAACTCTTCCTCTACACCACCAACAACTCTTCCTTCACACCACCAACAACTCTTCCTTCACACCACCAACAACTCTTCCTCTACACCAACAACTCTTCCTCTACACCACCAACAACTCCTGCATCCCTCCTACATCAAGAACTGGAGGCTAAGACCCCCGTCATATATCTCAGGAGACTGAAACCCCCGTCATATATCTCAGGAGGCGGCAACTCCCATTATATTCCCAGGAGGATGAGCCCCGCATCATCAATCCCCAGGAGGAGGCTTTGATCCCCGTCATATGGCCCAAGGGGATGTGACCCCCATCCTATGTCCCAGGAAGCTGTGACCCCATCATATATCACAGGAGGATGCGACCTCCGTCATATATCCTTGGAGGCTGTGACCCCATCACATGTCCCAGGAAGCTGTGACCCCATCATATATTCCAAGAGGCTGTGATCCCATCACATGTCCCAGGAAGCTGTGACCTCGTCTTATATCGTGGGAGGAGGCTGCAGCCCACATTATACATTCCAGGAGGCTTCAACCCCCTCATATATCCCAGGAAGCTGTGACCCCCCATCAAATATCCCAAAAGGCTGTGACACCCATCACATATCACAGGAGGCTGAAATCTCAATCATATGTCCCAAGAGGCTGGAACCCCCATCATATATCCCAGGAGGGTGAGACCCCCCGTCATATATCCCAGGAGGCTAAGACCCTCCCCCGTCATATATCCCAGGAGGCTAAGACCCCCACGTCACATATCCCAGGAGGCTGTGCCCCCCCCCCCATCAAATATCCCAAAAAGCTGCGACACCTATCACATATCACAGGAGGCTGCAACCTCAATCATATTCCCAGGAGGCTGTGACCCTGTCATATGTCCCAAGAGGCTGTGACCCCCCCATCATATGTCCCAGGAAGCTTTGACCCTGTCATATATCCCAGGAGGAAGCTGTGACCCCATCATATATCCCAGCAGGAGACTGAGACACCCATCATTAATCCCAGGAGGCTGCAGCCCACCATTATACATTCCAGGAGGCTGCAACTCACTTCATATCCCAGGAAGCTGTGACCCCCCCATCATATATCCCAGGAGGCTAAGACCCCCCCCCCGTCATATATCCCAGGAGGCTGAGACCCCCCCCCCCCCCCCTGTCATATATCCCAGGAGGCTGAGACCCCCCCCCCCCCCGTCATATATCCTAAAAGGCTGTGGCACCCATCACATATCACAGGAGGCTGAGACCCCCATCATATATCCCAGGAGGCTAAGACCCCCCCGTCATATATCTTAGGAGGCTTAGACCCCCCCCATCATATATCCCATGAGACTAAGACCCCTGTCATATATCCCAGGAGGCTAAGACACCCCCCCCCCCCCCATCCACATCATATATCCCAGGAGGCTTAGATCCCCGTCAGTAATCCCAGGAGGCTGAGAATCCTGTCATATATATATATATCTCAGGGGCTGCAACTCCCGTCATATACCCCAAGAGGCTGTGACCCCCGGCATATATTTCCTGGAGGCTGAGACCCCCGGCATATATTTCCTGGAGGCTGAGACCCCCGGCATATATTTCCTGGAGGCTGAGCATATATTTCCTGGAGGCTGAGACCCCCGGCATATATTACTGGAGGCTGGACTGGAGGCTGGACACAACTAAACTCTACACAGTATAACAACCAAAAAGATAAAAACTGGATATACTTTAAACGGTAACTTTTCGATTGTAAGTTCTCCGGAGCAGTGCCCTTTGAACCCCGTTGTATTAATTGTATAGTAACCGTCCGGTCTCCTCTCTCTATGAATCCTCTACAATATTCTGGGTTGCTGCACTCTATAGAGATTAGTTGGGTCCGTATCATTCTTCAGTAATATGTCCAATTCCCCCAACGTGCGTCCACCACGCCAGACCCTGATAATTACAATAAACTGGACGTCACGTTCCCATTACCCTTTCATACGCACCGCGCTAATTCACAGAGCTTTCCAAACCAGACGCAAACTATCGAAACGCATACCGCAAGCTGACGGAACCACCGGAGCACGGCGTGGAATTTGGTGGATTTATGTGGAAAAAAACATTTCCTACTATAATCGGCGACGTTCTGATGAGCAATGCAGATCTAATGTAACCTAATCAAATTTCCATAAAAGACCCGCCGAATGACACGCACGTCTCC